GGTTTCTCCTTATGCCTTCGTAATTTGAGATGAATTGCTGAAGGGCTTCTCTTACTGAATTCTCCTCAGAGAAGTCCTGATTCCAGGGGTAGCAGAACCAGAAGACAAAGGAAAGAGAAAACCAAGAAATCTTGCCCTTAGCACGGGTAAGAGGAGGGCAAAGGAAGGAAGGGAAAGAGAAGTAGTATTGGGATTTCCAGACTGTCCCCAAACGCGAGTCATTTGCTGTGAGACCACGCAAAAAATGCAGGCCAGACCGACCCTGGGAAACCACGCAGGTTTCTGCAAGCAGCAGGCCCATGTCAAAACTGTGAAGCAGAAGAAGTTTGCCTTTACTGACCTCGACCTGCATATTCTGTACCCATTTCCCTACCAACTTCCCTACCAGGCATGAATTTCCTTTTTATAATCAGGAAAAAAAATTTTTTTAAAGGTCCTTATATTTGGAAAGTTACTATTCTATTACTACAGTTCATAGTGGGAGACTACAACAAATGACGTATTATAGCGCTGGGGCAATGACCACTAACTCTTATTTCTCCATACTCATAAAGGAGCAGTGACAAGCAGAAATCTAAAACTTGCTTCTACACTGAACCTGAACATAATTCTTTTCTTTTTAAACTGCAAAGCAGACGTTTGCATTTATGGCCCCAGCCTACCTATTCTGTACCCACTCCCTTCCCTTGGCAACGTCCCACTTACTACATTGCACCCCCCTCCCTGCTCAGCACCGCAGAGGAATATACATAATATACGTTGTTGGTCTTTTCTCTTTGCAGGTCTGTTCCAAGGAATAAACTGAATGAAATTCAGTCACACTGAGATGAAAATGACAGATAATAGCTTAAAGTGTACATCAGGGATATTTGCACAGTCGATTCATTCCTTCTTTAGCAAATATTTATCAGGTGTCTATTAGGTACCAGGAACTTTTCTAGGTTCTGGGGATACCACAGGGAATAAGAAAGTTGTGGTCTAAGCTCCTATGAAGTTTGTATAGTTGCTGGAGAGGCACGTAGAAGACAAGTATGCAATAAGAGGATTTTGAATAGTGAGAAGTGCTGTAAAAGTAATAAAATCGTGTGAAAGGAATGACTGGGAGGTGATGGGGGACAAGGTTCGATGGCTAGTTAGGGGAGGACCTCTTTGAAGAAGTATCATCTAAACTGAGACTTGCATGACAAGGAGCCAGTTGTCATGGCAGAATCTGGAGGTCTCGGCTGAGGGAAGAGAAAGGCAAGGGCCCTGCAGTGGGATCCAGGCTGACGTGTTCCGGGAGCAGAAGACAGCAGGGCCTGGGGGTGGAGAGGAGTGGGCTTAGTGATAGGCGACAGAGGCTGTAGCCAGATTCTGTAAGGCCTCCAAGGCCAAGGTGATGCTTGGGTTTAATCCACGTGCCTTTGAAGGATGTGAAGCAAAAGAGGGATGTGATGAGAGTTGCACGTTAAAATGATCACTCTGGTTTCCCTGTGGGAACTGGGTTACAGCAGGGCGAGGGTGGAACAGGAAGCCACCTGGGACTGTTGGTGTAATCCAAGCAAGAGATGAGGGCTGGGTTAGGCTGGGTGATTAGTGGAAATGGAGAGAACTGAATGGACTTGGGAGTAGTTTAGAGGCAGGGTTAAAAGTTTGAGGAAGGTGCAGTATTGCTCAGGGTTTATGTCCTTTCCTCATTTTCAGTTGAAATGGATGTTTTTAGGGCATATAAGCTAATTTACCTTTCGACTTAATCAAAATATGGCAAGAGCTGATTTAGCTAGCATTCTTTTTACTGGAACTTTCCATTAATGAGGAAATTCAGTATGTTTAGAATGATAATTGTTATATTTGGAGTCCTATGGTCATTATTAAAACCTAAAATGCCTTTTTAAAACATTGCAATATTAAATCATATTCAACAGAGTTTATAATGTTCAAATCCTTTAAAGCCAATTATCTATGTATTGTATACTTTGTATATCTATGTATTGTATACTTTATCTATGGATTGTATACTTTATCAGAATTTCGAACTAATCAGAATATTCTTTTCCCCAACTAAACCACTTAAGTATTCTGCAGTTCACTGTAGAAGCCATTTTTAGATTATGCGTATCACTGCTCCTTTATGAGTATGAAGAAATAAGTTAGTGGTGCTACTTGTACTTTAAAAAAAGATAAGTAAAAACCACAAAATGTTTAATGTGGTTATCTATGGATGGTGGGATTATGTGTGATTTGTTTCTTCTTTCTTCTATTTTCCAAATTTCCTACAATAATGTGAATTACTTTTAAAACATAAAAGTTATATTTCCAAAAAAAAGTTTATTATATTTAGAAACTCACTACTCTCTATATTACTACAGTTCATAGTGGGAAACTATAACAAATGACATAGCTATAGGCCATGTTTCAACTTTTTTTTCCTTTTTAAAAAATAGATTTACTGGAAACTTCCAGGATTTTTAAGCACGGTTATGGATGCCCTGAGGAAAGACGAACTAGTCTTCCCCAGTGATGAAAAGTAACTTAATGACGTAAAGATGTCCATTATTACTATATCTATAGGATCTGGTGGGTAATTCTCATGTGACTTATTGAATGGGGAGATGACCAGTCTGAATGAGTAGGTGAGAATTCTTAGATGGGCACTAGGATTTGGGGTAAGGTATCTACAGTATCTACAAATTTTTAGTATTTGGTATTATCCTTATGTCTAATTTAATGACTTTACCAATTCAGTACTTTCTCTGAAGTTATAAAGGGAGTTGTAGGTTTAGGGTGTTTCAGGACCCTTTAAAGGTCCTGTACGGTCTAACCTAGTATTCCTTGGAGGAATCTCTGAGTTCTAGGTCTTATTCCCCATGTAACCAAAATCCATACACCATCCAGCCGAATAACCCAACAGCAAGTCCAGTGACTAGAATCTGGCAAGTTAGCCTCTCACAGTTGGAGAATCTCGAGTGCCTGCAAATAGGCAGTCGTTATCAGTATTTTTTCTATTTCAGCACACTTGAGGGATCTAACATCCTCAGGAGTAACAGCGAGTCACTGTGGCAGGGGTGGATGGTATCAGAATTTGGAAGGGGACAGGGAAGTACTATTAGTCATTCTTCATGTCATAGCCTTTTCGAATTACCAGATAGGAAGTTGACCAGGAGGCTAATCAAACCTACTGATCTCATGTCCATCCTGTACATTTATGGGGAAATGTAAACAAATTGCTACAAAGAGTTCTCCTTGGTCCTGTGGTAGTTCTTGTTATTTTTTGGTTTTGACTTACTTTGTTTTCGTTTAATTAAAACATTCCAGATATTATGAAATAAGGCAGAATAAGGAAAAGGTGAGGTTCTGCTAATTCTGTACAAATTCAGTGTTTTTGTTCCTTATTTTCAAAAATCACACAGGAATAAATTAAATCAAATAAGCTAAGTAAATTGTATGAGTAAACAGAAGACTCTTGCCTGGAGGAAAAAAAAGTCACTATATGAAGCTTATTATATATGAAGTTGTATTTCCTGGGAGGGATGGAAAGAGCATTCCTTTATTTTGGGCAAACCTCATGTTTTGCTAAAGCCTTAACTTAGAAGAGGAGAAATCTCAATGTATATTTCTTGAACTGAAAGCTTTTCTTCCACTTGTTCCTAGTGTTAAATTCCTGTCTTCTCCCCTTCTTATCATACACGGTGAGGATGACAAAACGGTGCCTTTGGAATTTGGAAAAAAAGGTAAACTAAGTTCAGCGGCTGACAGAAACATACTCTACTAATTTCACCATTTTCTCAGCCAGCCAAACTTTGATTAGGGCCTAAAGAAGGGTCTCTGACATTATAAGGGGTTCTCTGCATCCCTGAATTGCTGTGCCGCCTGGTGTATACAATACACTGTTGCCACTGTTCCATGAGCTGTGCAGCTTTCAGTTCCTTGGTTGTAGAGGCAACCACTCAGGGATATGCAGGGTGCTCATTATCTCTGACTTAATGGGACTAACTCCTTAAGCTGGCTGTTTCCATACCCTTTTAGGAAAATTAGACTAGGAAAACAACTGCTTCAATGATCAGCCTCTGAGTCCTTGTCTTTCTGCCCCTTGCAGCTCTATGAAATTGCACACAGTGCATATAGGAACAAAGAGAGGGTGAAGATGGTGATCTTTCCTCCTGGCCTCCAACACACCTTCCTGTGTAAAAGCACCACACTGTTAAAAACCGTGAGGTAAGATTTGCTTTGCTAAATGCAATGAGGGCTGCTCTGGTTTACTTAGACCATGAGGTGGGGAACGCATGTGAGCTCATCTAAGTCCTTTTCCTGCAGAGATTTCCTGAGCCAGCAGTGCGCGTGAGGTCTGAGTACAGCGGAGAGCGAAGACTTGGTCCAAACACCACTTGTGTATATTTCTTATGTAAAACTGTACTGGGCTGCTTGGGTGAGCTGAAGTTACTGACATTTCTACAAGTCACTTGCCATTTTAGTAAGGGAAAGCATGGATGCTGGGCATTATGGAATGTTCGTGTTTAGCTTGTCATAGTCTACTTTGTGGAACATGCCAAAACTTCACTGTGGAGAATCAGAATTTGGTAAAAATTTGATCCCATCTAAAAATGTACAGTTACCAAACATTCTGGGGATATCTGTGGATAAGGTGGTTTTTGATTTGCACCTAGACAGCAAGCAGTAGCAAGAAAGATGCTCCAGTGTAGTTAAATAATTTGTATTTCAGTTTAGTTAATTTAAATGGCATTAAAAAGTTCCAAGCTGTTTTCTAGCTTTCTGAATAGCATTGGGGAAAGTCCTAGCATGCTATTCAATCTGCTATAAAATAGTAAGATTTGGCACTCATGTAGCCTTTGGAAATTAACACTGTATTTTTAGCCCTAATATAGTCATACAGTTTCCCTCCCAATTCCCAGAGATACTTAACTAGATTATTATTTAATAAAACAAAACAAAATCAAAGAATGTTGTGAAAATGTTGAAGTCCAGTAAGAAGCTATTTTTTCTCAGGACATTTTACAACTTACTTTCCATTGGCTTTGTCCACCCCACTGCTGGGTTCACTGGACAGGGAAATCTTTATGTCAGAAGGCTCCATGTTCCAGATGTCCCGGGCATACTCCTTAATTGTTCGGTCACTGGAGAATTTCCCTGAGGCGGCTATGTTTCTGAGTACCATGATGCTCCAGGCCTTTGGATTCTGTAAACAAGAATTATACTTGTTTAATTGAATTAAATTAAATTGATGTGCATCTAAGGCTCAGGGCCTGAGTGCCCAACAAGCTGTATGACAAACATCAGGCCAAGCACATCCAAGTACAATTTATGGGGAAAGTGACAGGAGTAAATTGTAATGAATCATAAATACATTTGTTTCACAGTTGGGAGCTGGACAGGGCAGACTGTGCTTTTCTCCTATTTTAGATTATATTTCTCTAAAATGAAAAAGAAAGTATTTTTCACTCTTACAGAAACCCTAATTGGTAATATCTGCCATAGTTACAATGTTTTGGCATGTAAGCCTTATTTCCCATGCTTCATTTTGAATGAAGATACCTCATCTCCCTTTAAACTACGGGGGAAAGGAAGAGACTAACATTCATTGTCTGCTAGATGCCACGTAAGAAATTTATCCCGTGGCTCACAGCCAGAGCTCAAAAAACACTACTCTAGAACATTAGCTACCATGCAGGCAAACAGTCCCATGGGAGACTTTATTCACCGACTTCTCTTTTCCTGTTTTTTTCAGAAGGTAGATACTCCAATAGGTTTACACTGAATCCCAAATACTCCACTGGGGTTTGAAAACAGGACCAATTAAGGTTTTATCCTAAATAAAAAATATACATCTATATATCTAAATAAAATATATATCTCATAATTTTATGTAAAAAGTATAAGAAGTTATTTATTTTTTATTAACATCTTTATTGGAGTATAATTGCTTTACAGTGTTGTGTTAGTTTCTGCTGTATAACAAAGTGAATCAGCTGTATGCATATGTATATCCCTATCTCCCCTCCCTTTTGGTGGGTCTCCCTCCCACCCTCCTTATCTCACCCCTCTAGGTGGGTTGCAAAGCACCGAGCTGATCTCCCTGTGCTATGCAGCTGAGAATCTACTTAGAGTCTCGTGATTTCGTAAAGAACTCTAAGAAGGAGTTCTAGGGAAATGACCAGAATATTATTTGAAAACAACAGCAATCAATTATAAACATTTATAAGAAAAACTAAAACACAGTCTGAAATTAGTTTATTCAGACTTTGGAAACTTACTAAAATAAGAAGAGAATAAACGCTTCCTCTCTTCACGTTCTTTATTTAAAGGGATAATGACTAGACTTTCCAACCACGTGGGCCATGTTTTCTACGCTTCAACAATACAATTATTGTTAAGAGTAAAAGCTGCAGTTTGCACTACTGAACAAGGAAGATGGAACAGAATGCTGGCCTTCTAGGTGGGCATCCTTTGGATCAGGGCCATCATTTTAACAGAAGGGACCATTGTGCAAAACCAACATTCACATTTGTGCATGCCCTCACTCATATTTTCTTCTCCTGCTCTGTTTCACTTCTGTTTCTTTTCCTAAACAGCTTTTCTACATAACAAGCATGGGTTGAGATCAAGAGGAAGGAGCTAGAGGGGGCCATTTTCTTTCCTCTGTCTTTGAGTTCTTGGAGGCTGTATGTGGCTGCTCTCTCCAGTGTTCAAGGAGCAGGAAGTGAGCCACTCTGCTTAAATCTAGCACTGCCTCTCCTTGGGAAGTATATAAAACTCTGGTTTATATACACTTTTGGGGGGCTGGATATGCTGTAAAGCAGCACAGGCCTTGAGTGATCCTGTTTTAAAACCCCAAAGGGATATCTGGGATGACTATGGGAACTACCTTGTCACCTGGCTTTGGGAAAGGAATAGAAAGAAATCTTAGCACAGTATGTTTCTGTCGGAAATAGTGACTGATGTGTCCAGAGGGCAAGAGGTGGAGAGTTTATGCGTTCCCACTGGTCTGGTCTATAATGGCTTTCTAGTTGGAGAGCCAAAATGGAGACTGTGTGGGCAAGGATGGCTACCTCAAGAAGCCCAAGCTGGAGTCTTAGCACAGGGCCAGCCTCCTCCTGTATCTGTTCTTCTGTGGTTTCTGCAGTTCCCTACGAGTCTTTCCTATCAGAGATGATCGCCTTTCCATATATTTACTAAATGTACCTAGAGGGCTGGGCTCTTTGGTAAAGATGTATGACTTTGCACATGAAGGGTTACTCACGTGGCTCTAGCCCTTTTCTTTTCTTTTTCTCTCTCCCTTTCCTTCCTTTTCTTTCTTTCTTTCTTTCCTTCTTTCCTCCCTCCCTCCCTCCCTCTCTCTCTCTCTCTCTTTCTTTCCTTGTTTCATTCCTTTTTCTTTTTCTTTTTTTTAAATTCAAATGTGAAACCTCCCCTCTTTCTATACATTTATATTCTATTCATATAGCACCACTCCATGGGTAATCCAGGAGAGGAACTTACTTTACAATTTTCAAATACTAGGGGGGGTCAGTCCTTTCCTGATAAACGAAGGTTCAGCCTTAGAACCAATTTAGCAGATTTTTCTTTTTCTTTTTCTTTTTTTTTACATCTTTATTGGAGTATAATTGCTTTACAATGGTGTGTTAGTTTCTGCTTTATAACAAAGTGAATCAGTTTTACATATACATATGTTCCCATATCTCTTCCCTCTTGCGTCTCCCTCCCTCCCACCCTCCCTATCCCACCCCTCCAGGCGGTCACAAAGCACTGACCTGATCTCCCTGTGTTATGTGGCTGCTTCCCACTAGCTATCTACCTTACATCTGGTAGTGTATATATGTCCATGCCTCTCTCTCGCTTTGTCACAGCTTACCCTTCCCCCTCCCCATATCCTCAAGTCCATTCTCTGGTAGGTCTGTGTCTTTATTCCTGTCTTACCCCTAGGTTCTTCATGACATTTTTTTTCCCTTAAATTCCATATATATGTGTTAGCATACGGTATTTGTCTTTCTCTTTCTGACTTACTTCACTCTGTATGACAGACTCTAGGTCTATCCACCTCATTACGAATGGCTCAATTTCGTTTCTTTTTATGGCTGAGTAATATTCCATTGTATATATGTGCCACATCTTCTTTATCCATTCATCCGATGATGGACACCTAGGTTGTTTCCATCTCCGGGCAATTTAGCAGATTTTTCAAATGCTGATGGTGGTCCCACCCACTACTGGGTCAGAATCTCTTAGAAGGCGGTGGGCATCTGTACTTTGAGAAAACTGCTTGGTGATTCTGATGCACTTCTGTTTAAGGGCCCCGGCCCTAAATACGCTCCTGGAGGGGCCTTGGCTTTGTCCATGCTGGGGCCTCAGTGCCCAACATGGTGCCTGCCATGGAGGCACCCAATGCCCCAGTGCCTCTCTGTTGAATAAATGAGTGGGTAAAGTGAGTATTTAATTTCGCTTTATACTCTTAGTCTCTAGGATATGCCTGCTGCATGGTGGGTGCTCAATAAATACTGAATTATTTGTGACTTTTTACTTGGATATTAAAAAACCTACAACTGCAACTGAAATGTCAAATGCCAACCTTTGCCTGAATTCGGGAACAGTCAAGTTTTGATCTGAAAAACCTAAAGAGCTGCCTCACTTCCCATTTCTGATTGGTTGGTGGGGCCCTGTTATTTAGATTTAATAAAAAGAAACCAAAATTTTAATGAACCGTAAACTGGTTTCCTTTGTAAGTCTCGGCCATGTACTCACCATGTACAGCTGACTGACTTTTTCTTGACACTTGACGTAGGCTTCATAGTCTGCAAAAACTTTAAACCTTTTTTTGTGATTAGAAGGAAAAGACAAAAAGCTTCATTAATAGATGTGTGCTAAGATTCCATTCAAAATTCGCTTTTGCTTAATGTCAGGCACGGCTGGCTTACCAATCTGACACTTCTATTCACAAGGGTTTCAACCAGCCCTCAACCTTTCTTCCCACACGTGAGAATGTTATCACACGGATGCATCTGAAAGTTGGGTACACCCGTGGAAAGAGAAAAAGAATACCAAACTTGTGGGTCTTATTCTTAAGTCTTCTCCTTGCATTGTTAGTGGAGAATACCTAATTTTCCTTTCCAAGTCTACGTTAGCTTATCAGATCACAGATCTATGCTAATCTACATGTGTTGCAGTTGGTTTAAGATATTCTCATCCCCTTTCCACGGCCCAAACAGCACCATCTTCTTGTGGGAACTCACCTGTCATGATAAAATAGCATGTTGACTAAGTCTTTGAAGAGGTCAGGCTGCTTGGGAGAAAAGAAGCCCTTGTCAATTTGATCGATGGCCAGCTTTAGCTCTGGAAGTGCCTCGTAATATTCTTTTGCCTTATACCTGTAGGGTCGGGGCAGGGGATAAGAAAAGGTTCTGTTAATGTTTTTTAATGACACACTGGACGCTACATTAGCTGTGAAAAATGCATTCAGAAATATGGTATTTATAAAGTCATTATAGAGTTCAACAGGGTATAAATAATACTTAACTAGATCCTAACATCTTTTTTCCCAACTAAATTTGATTAGTTCCTTGTAACCAAAGACACTAAGGACAGTAGATAATAAAAATCCTAGTCACAGAGCAATAGTCTAATCCGGTAAAATACAGTAAGATTCATTTCAAAGCAGGCTTTATGGCTCTAAACAAGCATCGTACAGTTGCTTTTTTAAAAAAAGATTTACTTATTATTTCTTTCTTTCTTTAATTTATTTTTGGCTGCGTCGGCTCTTAGTTGCAGCACGTGGGATCTTGCATTGTGGCCTGTGGGCTTCTCTCTAGTGTGGCGGCGGGTTTTCTCTTCTCTAGCTGTGGTGTGCAGGCTCCAGGGCGCTTGGGCTCTATAGTTGTGGCGCACGGGTTCCAGAGCTCGTGGTCTCTGTAGTTTGCAGCACACGGGCTCAGCAGTTGTGGCGCGCGGGCTTAGTTGCCCCACAGCATGTGGGATCTTAGTTCCCTGACCAGGGATCGAACCCGCATCCCCTGCATTGTAAGGCGGATTCTTTACCACTGGACCACCAGGGAGGTCTCCGACAGTTGCTCTTTGGTCCCACAGATTCCCAAATTTGTTGCTACTGAACAAAAATTTACTTCCAAGGGTTGGGAAGTATATTTGACACCCTCCAGATTTTGTGATTGCTGTGGTTCCTTTGAGCAGCATCTTTCTTTACTTCTTATTTGAATCCAGGTTAATAAACCTATCCAGGTATTAAGTGGAACAAGTATTCTGGGTACTTCTATACAACCAGGCCTATCATCTACCACATTTTAGTCCATCTCTTTGAGGTCTTAAAGGAACACTAGATGGTTTAATTAATAGGCAAAAACTTCAACTACACACTGGTTCAGTGTTTTGATCAAAGTAAAGATCACAGATGTGGAGAAGTGAATAGCTCATGAGGCCAGCTCTGTCATGGCTGATAACAAATAGCAACGAGCCCATGTACCTGTGCCCAAGCTCCTTTCACTTTCACTTGCTGCGTGTAACAAGACTAATCTGTGGTCACGAGGGTCCCCTGACTCATGGGAGATGTTCTGCTGTCACTCTCATGGGACCTGCCTCAATGGGACACCTGGGTGGGCAGGTACCCTCCTGGCGGGATACCTGCTCAACAAGCAGGAGTGCTCTCTCACCCTTTCTTGTCCAAAGCAGCCACGTCCTCTATTCTCATGCCAAAGATGAACAGGTTCTCTTCCCCGGCTTCCTCGGCCATTTCCACATTGGCCCCATCCATGGTCCCGATAGTCAGGGCCCCGTTCAGCATGAACTTCATATTGCCTGTCCCCGAGGCTTCGGTGCCTGCGGTAGAAATCTGCTCCGACAGATCTGCGGCTGGAATGACTGCAAGCAAGGCATTAGTGATAGAATTAGTGATCCTGTCTCTCTGGATCCGCTTGTACGGTATCCAAGCATTCACCTAGCTGGCCTGTTCTAATCATTAAAGTAGTATGTGTACATCAAGATAAACATTCAAATGGTGTAGGATGGATCTCACTCTTCCCCTTGACTCTGGCAACCACTTTTGCCCCTTTCTGATGTGCTTCTTGGTGATTATGGCCACAGTGCTAAATAACTCTATGCTTACACTACTCTTCCTTGGTCTATAAACTTTAAAGAGCATCTATTGACTCTCTGCTATAAAAGTTGACACTACTGTGAAATAAAATTCCTATTTTATGGCAAGACAAGAAAAAGTTAAACATGAACATTTTTCTCTGCCCTTTGGCCTCCTCTCTCCCTTCTCCTGTGCATTGTGTATCTGCATTAGGCATGGACCAAACCTCCCCATCGGCAGAAATATCTACTCAGCCATAAAGAGCAACGTTCTCCTGGCACCAACAAGACAACTCCTTAAAAGATAACATTCCTTCTTGATCTTGTAAGGGGTCACAATGACCCACCACTTTGTACCTGAAGATCTGGATTGTGTAAACTGTCAACAATACAGCATTTAATGTAGAGCCCCCTGTCTCGAAAAACTTATATAACTGCTTTGACTTCTAATGGGTGGAACAGTTCTTGGAACTTTCTGATCTGCTGTTCCTGGTTTATAATCCTCAATTTGGCTCAAATAAAATTTTCCATTTCTTTCTTGGATGGGCTGATTAATTTTTTATCAACTTTACATTTCTCTTCTCCTCCTTCTTCCTTTCAGTTTTTGTTATGGTTTTATTTCTTCTATTTTATAACTTTATAAAATGTACCTAAACTTCTCTTTCTTGATCCTTAAAATTCAGAATCTTCCCTGACCCCTCTTTTGCAATCTGAGGAAACTGGATTGTGCCATTCCTTCCACTCCTTACCACCTTCCTTCCACTTTCACTGCAGGGAAATAAGCCACAGGCAACTGAGGTGTGCCCAGGGCAGACCTTTCAGTCTGATTCACACAGAAGTTCCTGCTGCCTGCAGCATCCCTCCGTTGCCTCCACTACAAAGCACAGGACCTGCTTTACTTTGAGAGCTTTACTTTGAGAGCTTATTTGTGGATTAGACATACCTTCATTTGTGCCCATAAAAACCTGGCTCTTTTTTTCTTTATGCAGACAGTTCTTAAATTGTAACATCAGAGGACCCAAAAACACCTCAGAAAGAGAAAGGTCCCTTTTCAATTTGGGAAAAGGGCAAACACACAGTTGGCATTTGCATGTGGGTGGTGCTTTGTGATGCAAGAAGAAAAGAAAGGGATGTTGGCTTCTTGCCAGTCTGCCTGTCCCCACATGGGAACTCCACGCACGCCTGCTCTGAGCGCCTGTCTGAGGCACGTCTAAGCCTAGGGCTTTGGCAGCCTGACATCTGCCCTCATTCCCTGCTGCCACATGAACAAATGACAGCCCTTCTTTCCATGGAGTGACCAGAGGAATATCCGGGGATTGGGGCACTGGTGTTCTATTGCAGAACTGGGACTGGGAACTGAAGATCTTTTTTTCTTTTGTAGAGCACGGTCTGTACTTTACCAATACCTCAGGGCCACCTCCTCCAACACCCAGCCCTGAGCAGCTGAGAGGAAAATGTGCTTGCAGATGTAACCTCTGATGTGGAGTCTGGGGACAGTCATCTCAGTGTCAGCTGGGTCACCTTAAATATTCTTAGCTTAGGGTCATATTCTGCCTAAGAGTGACACCTTCTATCCTAAGTCACTGGCTCCCGAGGTCAGCTGCTCCATTTTTCTATAACGTGTAATCTATCCCTAGCATGTGCCCTGGCCCCGCATGGTTTGTGAGGACAGCACTACCTTTTTCAGCAAGAGACACTCTGTAGTTCTCCAGGAAGATGAGTTTCAACTTGCTTCCAACCATGGGGTCATTGTTCACCACCTCTGCCACTGAAGTGATCAGCTTTATGATCAGTTTGGCCATGTGATATCCTGGGGCAGCCTTGGGGAAGGGTGTGGACACATGACAGAATGCAGGCATGATGAAGTGGAGAAACGGCAAAAGAGACAAGAGCCCCCAAGTACCCAGGGAAGAGAAGCAACTTACTTTGCCACCGATTATAACTGTTCTGGGCACGAATAGCTTCTTCGGGTCTTTCTTAATGCCTGCAAAAGATGGAGAAGGGGATGGAACGGAAGACGGTGGATGGCCAGGGTGGTGAGAGCTCCACCTCTGGGGGCTGGTCGGGGGCTGCAGGGCTGACTCACGGTTGTACATGGTGACCACATGCAGGCAGTTCAGGAGCTGCCGCTTGTACTCATGGATCCTCTTCACCTGCACATCAAACATGGAGGATGGGTTGATCTTCACTTTGTACTCCTTCTCCAGGAACTGAGAAAACTTCAGCTTGTTCTCCTGTTGAGACAGTGCATGGGGCCAGAGCCCTTTGGACTCAGAAGCATTGGGTGGGTGGTCTGTTTTTAAAGAGTGGGGCATGAACCCTCCAAGCAAGTGCCGCTGGGCAAAGCATCCACACCGGGAAGCCTCACCTGCTTCACGTTGGAAATCTCCCGGAGGAAGATGTCGTCGCCCAGGAAGCTGTTCAGCTTCGTCAGCTGGCTCAAGTCCTTCACACAGTCCTCCCCGATTTTCTTTCAGTTTAAAGGAAAAGGTGACTCGAATCAGGGAAGGCAGTCAAGCCCACATGAGCAGTTTCTGTCAGTCTGTGGCAAGGGCTCACACGCCCCTAACACTCGCACCCCACAGCACGCAGAATGGCTTCATTCACAGGAGATGCTGAAAACGCCGTGTGGGAAGAACACTTGCTAGACCTTCAGTGGTATTAAGTGTTAAAAACAGGAAATCTACCTAAAAAGGGTGACAAATAACCCAGGTTCTACTAGGTACTATTAGAGGACAAACAAAGGTCCTGTTAGAGGACCTCTGTTATCCTCTTTTGTTAAACAGGGGTACCATCTGTGTGTCATATGAGCACTGTTCACCAGGGCCAGCTACGTAATGCGTGGGGTCTCTCTGTTCTGAAATTCAGAATTTCAAGCTGGCTACGGCGGAGAAGGAAACCAGTGCGGAGCCCTGTGGGGTTGCACAGGCCACTGGCTTGGGGGTGAAGCAGGCCCTGCTGCAGACTGGATTTGCAAGTTATAAGCGCACTCCCTGCCTCTTGAATTCTAGTCAGAAGCCCCCTTTCCCTCGGCACTTCCCGGTTACCTCTGCTATTAACTCTGCCAGTCCTGGGTTGCAGAGTAACAGCCAGCGCCTTGGAGTGATCCCATTGGTTTTATTCTGAAACTTGTCTGGCTCTAGCTCACTGAAGTCCTTGAATCTGGAGATGGAAGAGACACATCACTAAACGTGGCTGGAACGGCAGGTTCCCGCATGCTGGATGAAGTTTAGGGTTAGATCTAAGGAGCAGAGTGTAGGCTTAGAAAGGTTAAATAAAAGTGGAGAGAGGGGCTGACAGCAGCTATGGGTGTCATTCTAAATAGAAATCCATTTGCAATTCAAAATAATTGCAAGAAAAAATCCAATCTAATCGCCTTCATATGATTCCCTGGCACTGACATATATATCAGACTTCTGAGCAGAAGAGTTTTGTTTTTTTTTTCTTGTAAGTCTAGAATTAGGACTGTTCAGAGAGGAAGGCCTTTTCCTTTTAGAGAAGGGTTCTTTGTATAGAAGACATTACTTTTAAATATTTAACGGGGCCTTTCCTCATCTCCAACCGCAACCCTGCATTCGCTAGCCCCGCTCTATTCCTCAGCAATGTGAGACCCACTGCGACAGGGGTGGAGGCTCACACTTGGTTCTTCACGATGTCTGAGTGAATTTTAGCCACGCCGTTCACAGCATGGGAGCCCACAATGCAGAGATGGGCCATGTTGATCCTTTTGCCTCCTTCCTCTTCTATCAGAGACATCCTTCTCAGGCGGTCGACATCTTTAGGAAACAAGGCGGCAATTTTCTAGGCAAAGGAAGAGAAAGGCCTTACTGGTCACTCAGGTTTCCAGCAACCCTGGGATAACGTCATTCACTTCCCAACCAAAACCTTTGATGAAGCAAAGGTAAAACTTCACTCCCACAGAGAGGAGTGAAGATGCCTAGGGAGATGCCATCCCTCCAGGTTAGTATTTTCAAAAGGATGTCATTAACAGAGCCCCACCCAGACTTGAGTGCTTTTGATGTATCAATGACTGAAAGATGTTTGGGCCTCAGGTTTGGTAAGAGGGAAGACTGCAGCCACCCTTAACATCTCTAGACCTCCTTCTCAAAAGGGTTATGAATCTGTCAAAGTGACTTACATCTAAATGCTTTTGATTCATCTCGTAAATGATCTGCAAATGTCGAGGAAGCAGCTTTTCCACCAGCTCTACAGGCCAGCGCTCCAGGGCTTCCGGGAGCACTGTATGGTTGGTGTAGGCAAAGGTCTTCTGGGTGATCTCCCATGCCTGTGGGGAGAGGGGGGCTCAGTGCTTGCCTCTGCAGGAAAGGCGGCCTGCAGGTGTGCCCCATCCTGCAGGCCAAACACTTCCTCAACTCCTGCCCGTCAGCAACAGGACAATTCTATCTGCATGTATACAGTTAGACACAATTCCGCTAGGTTCCTGAATGGTCCAGGTAATGGGAACATGTTTTTTTTGGGGGGGAGGGGGAGGAAAAGCAGTAAATTGTCTGATAAAATTTAGGACAGCATATGCTGATAAATCTTCTCTAGTATCCTAACTTGTCTTTCATTTGTTAAACAAACAAAACTTGAGGAATAAAACTTCAGTAATGTTCTGAGAAAGTACCAAGTATGTTTAAAATCGATGGAGACACCTTCAGTTAGCTGTATTCTGAGGCTAGAGAGTTTAATTTCGAATCCTTTTAGACACAAAAATGGCAAACACAATATAAGCCTTAATATAGCCACTGAGCTGTGTCCCATTAGCAATGTGTTTATTTATTTCTTAGTCTTACTCCCTGTAAAGCAGTAAGAGCCGAGACATGTCGGTGCCAGGGCAAAGTTTACCTTTAACTGTTGGAAGTTAGCAACAGTGACTTATTTTGAAAAACTGTGAAAGGCGCTTTGGGCAGAATCTCTTAAGCACAGATATTCTGGCCAGTCAAAGGAAAAAGAAGCCAAAGCATCCGGACCTTGGACCAGGGCAATTTTTCAATGTCCACAAAAATCCGCATCAGCTCAGGGATGGCGAGCGCAGGGTGAGTGTCATTCAGCTGGATGGCAACCTGCGAGGGGAAAACCGATGTGAAGGTCACCAACGGCCCAGGCCCTTGTTCTCATCCATGCCTCATACGTGCACCAAACAAAACGTCTGCCCTCTATGGGAGGCTTTAAGTATACTGTAGCTACTCGGTTTTATTTTTTAATTGAAGTATAGTTGATTTAAAATATTGTGTTAGTTTCAGGTGTACAGCATAGTGATTCAGTTATATATAAATATTCTCAGATTATTTTCCATTATAGGTAAGTAAATTTCCTGTGCTACACAGGAAATCCTTGTTGCTTATCTATTTTATGTATAGCAGTGTGTATCTGTTAATCCCATACTCCTAGTTTGCCTCCCTCCACCCCCTTTGGTAACCACAAGCTTGTTTTCTGTCTGTGAGCCTGTTTCTGATTGGTATATAGACACTCAGATTTTTTTTTTAGCATGGAGACAGAGAAGTAAATCTGATGGAAGTCCTGATGCCCTCAGTTGTTCCCGCCTGCGTTCAGGCTGAATACTCGCCTGATCTGGGAAGGCATCAAACGCAGTTCTGGCACTCCTGCTGGACCCAAACTTAGAGGCTTTGAAACGTCGGATGACATCTTGCAAGGTAGCAGCCACCACAAAGTACTCCTGCTTCAGTCTCAGCTCCTTCCCTTCAAAAAACTTCAAGCCAGAGAGACTGAGTGAGAGGGCTCACATTGCTAGGAGTGGCCAGAACATGGGTGGCGTCCCCTACACCAGGGGACTTTAAGGCTAAAGCCCATGGGATGTCTGGTGGAAGCTGGCAGGTTGAATGCCAAGCATCAGCCTCCTGAAACTCCACTAAAATGACAGTAAAGGGATTGAAAAAAGGCAATACTGATAAAGGATGAAGGGAATGGAGAGAAGACAACAGCAACAACTTTTCAGAAGCCGAAAAACAGATGGATAAATGGTAAACTGAACCAGAAGACCCAGGAAAGCTGCATCCTGACCTGGTGTGGAGAAAAGCCAAAGGAACAACGCAGTGTATACACTGAAGCTCCCAAAAGGCCCAAGAATTGTCAGCGTTGGGTGCCTTCAGAAGTAGGGGTGAAGAGGGGGTAAAAGGTTAGTGGGGAACCTAAGAAGTAGTTGGCCTCAGACCTCCTCTCCAATTCCCTCAACTGGACAATCTCCTTTGCCAACTCAGGCAGAAGCTGGAGGTCTGTTCTCTGGAGATGGTATAACAGGGGTCTCTGGACTGGAGGGCAGCAGGTAAAGTGGGAGGCAGGGGTACCATCCATACTAAAAATGGGGGAAGAGGCTCAGTGAAAGTTTCTGTACTGAATACTGATGATTTCAGTCTTCATCTCCCAACTGAATTTGAGAACACAGGCAGCCAGTGTTAATTCCACCAGGAAAGAAGCTTCAAGCGTCTTCTCTAGGGAATTCGACCAGCACAGGAGGGAGGACCTAAAGACATGGACATGAGGAACTCCACCAGGAAGCGGCCCCAGCAGGTCACAGGTGAGGGAAACCAAATAGATAAATCCCAAACAAGTGTACAGAGCTCCCCAAAACTTGTTGGTACCTTTCTCTTAAGTTTCAGTGGGCAGCTAAGGACCATTAGACAGCTAAGAAAAACTTCTAAAACATGTTAAAATAATAAAAGCCAACTTAGAGGTAACAGAGATTAGAGAAAAGAATGATTAGAAGAATACTATCAGTATCCTCAGATAGATTAGATATTGTATTCAAGAAATAAGAATAAGATGCTTCAAGAAAATATCTAGAGCAAAAAAAGATTACTTGGAAATTAAAACATGACAGCCAAAGTGAAAAACCCAATAGGAAGATTGGAAGAGAGATTTGTGATTGCCCAAAATGTGAGCAGGAAGACAAAGAGATGATAAATAAAAGAAAAAAGGTAAGAAGACTAAACCAGTTGAGGATGTTTAACAATTCCAGACCATTTCTCAGAGAGCTGTAGTCCTGTGTCCCCAGACTGAAAGGGTACCCAGGCGTGATAAGTGAAAGCAGACTTACACCAAAGCACACCCCCCAAAACTTTTAGTACACTCGGAGAGAGGGGGTTTGGAGAGGGACAGAGGGAGGGGAAGAGAGAGAGGGAGACTAGAAACTTTCAAAGGGGGAAGAAAGCAGAATTCAAACAAAAGATCAAGAATCCAATTGCATTGTACTTTTCGGCAGCACCAAAAACTAGGAGATTAAAAAAAAAACAACTTTTGAGTCTTCAGTATCCAGGCAAACTCCCAATGAGAGGGCAAAATAAAGACATTTTCCAACATGCAAGGTCTCAAAAAAATTGACCTCACTTGCACCCTTTCCTAGGAAGGCCCAGGCATGTGTACTACCAAAACAAGGGAGCAAACCAAGACATGGGATCCTGGAAACAAATGACCCCAGAGAGTATATGAGTACAGACGTCCTCAGAACAATGGGAAAAGTAGATCCCAGGATGACAGCGGAGCAGCCAACCAGAAGAGATCCAGAAGAGACTTCAAGAAGACTGAGTCAACAGAATACCTAAGGTGTTTGAATATATTGAGAGGAAATTTCTACGACTGGGGTAGAGTGTAGGCTAAATTAGGGAAAAGTACTCAGAAAACCAAGCAAACGAACAAAACAATGATTAACTCCAGGAAAGGAGAACATTTTAAGGAAAGGAAAAATAATCAAGAGATGATGACATGTATGTGCACAGATCAGCTGTCTGTAGCACTGACAGCGTCATAATAATGTAAACACTAGCTGAAGAGCTAGTGCAAATCACCATGTGATTATGTTGAGAGAGTGGGCATAGAAAACGTGTTTTTGTGGTGGGGGTGGAAGTCTATGGGAGGAAGGGAGCTAAATTCTCATCTTCAGTAGCGGGGAGTCAGTATTGTAAAAAGAGGAAATCACGAAGCAGCAGTAACAGCATGTTGTTAGAAATATGGAGGTAAGTATCCAGGAAAGCAATTCAAAGCAAGGGGATGTAGTTGCTTTGGGGAAGTGGGAAATAGGAGGCTGATTTTATAGTAAGCCTCAGAGAGCTGCTTTTCTCTTTAAACTATGTGCAGGTACAACTTTGATAAAAGTTTAAAAACCAAAAGAAAAATTTTAAGTCATTAATAGGAAACTGTCTGGATGGATATTACCAATGGGAATTTATAGGTGGTAGAATTTGGAATTTTTTTTTTTACTTGGTAGTTTTTTATATTGCTTATATTTCTTTTTCTAATAGCATGTTTCATAGTAAAAAATATAATGAAATCATTATTCTAAAAAAAGCACATGAATCCATCCACAATGAATTTAAATGTTTATTGAGTTAGGGAATTTTTAATGTGCTAGAAATAAAATGATTAATTAAACAATCACTGACCTCAGTTAAGTTCAAACTACTGGGCAGAGACAGATGTATAATCAAGGCTTGAAATCAAACAAGACAGTTTTTAAAAACATTTATGTTGTATTTAAGTGTATACACAGTACTTTGGGGACCTAAATACTCAGGTGATTTCTTTATCTGAGCCCTGAAAGGTAAGTAGGAATTTGAGGTGAGCGCAGAGGGCCAGAGTATTCCCTGCACACAGAGGAAACCTGGGCAAAGCATGGAGGTTAGAAAGAACAGGGCAAATAACCCTCTACAGCTGGGACCTATTGGTAGGGCAAGATCACAGAGGATGTGTCAGAACTGATGACCACATAGATGAAGATACACCTACGATTCTGTACTTCTCTTAGGGGTAAGCAAAAGCCTTAAAGAATTTTAAGCAAGGAAAAAAAAATCTCATTAGTTGCAGAGTGAGGACAGGGGGCAAGATTCTTGGAAGATAGACTAATAGGGCTATGGCCAAGTTCGGGAGAGGGAATGAGTCTGTTCTTGTGGTTACAGTACGAAAAAGATTTATCAACTTCTACTTAAAAACAAGCATAACCCTGAGAGTTACCTTTTTTGCCCAATGAATTTAGTCAACTTTGCACCCCATGCTAACCTAGTATGTGTTACCAATTGTTTATTTATTGGAATATTATTGATTATTTCCAAGTAAAGTTAGGTTTGGGCCCTACTGAAGATAGGAGGATGAATTTCAAGCCCCTTCTAGTTAAGCAATCCTGCAGGATTGGGTTTGGCTAGGCAGTGTGGCCCCAGTCTTGGAAGGATTCTTACTTTAATTGACCTTGAAACAGAACAGTCTTTTGCTTTTGCGTTACAGATTTCTTTTAAGGTACTGAAGACACATCGTTTCTCCCAAAGGAAAAATAACATATACCGTTAAGTTCCTAAAAATGCTGCAGCAAATCCACTTAATCCTCCTTGGAGATGGGTTTAACACTAAGTGGACATCTGGTCTTAGGATCATTTATGTCCTAGTCCCCAAGATCCTTGTTTTGTGGACATCTTTGTGGAGCAGAGTACTAGTTTGGTTACTTCTGAGATTTTTTTTTTTTTAAATTATTATAGCGTCCAGAAAATTATTTTACTCATGGATAAGTTAGAGCCAAGTCTATTTTAACCCACTAAGAATCCATAACAGTGGGTTTCCCTGGTGGCGCAGTGGTTGAGTCCGCCTGCCGATGCAGGGGACACGGGTTCGTGCCCCGGTCCGGGAAGATCCCACATGCCGCGGAGCGGCCTGGGCCCGTGAGCCATGGCCGCTGAGCCTGCACGTCCGGAGCCTGTGCTCTGCAACGGGAGAGGCCACAACAGTGAGAGGCCCGCATACGGCAAAAAAAAAAAAAAAAAAAAATCCATAACAGTCATCTGAGATCCAGTTCCAAGTGTTTTTTTTTTTTTTCTTAAACTAAGTTATTTTTCGTGTAAACTTTGTAATGATCACCTATAAGAAAAAGTTTAATGAGATAAATAAGTGGCATAAGAAACAAGTGTCTGCTCCTGGGTCTATTCTGAGGTCCATGACCCCACCTTGCCTTGGGTCAGAGGAGACCCATGAGTGAGGGGAAGAGGACAGGCAAGACACCTCCAGGGACTTCTGATGCTGTGGATGAAATTTCTGTTTGGAAAGGAAGGAGTGCTTCACCTGTACTGCACCTCATCTTTTATAGCCAGGTTTTGTTTTGAAATACATGTACAGAGCCTCCCAATTAGTGATGGGGTCACTAATCAAGGGCGAAACACCAATTCTGATTTCATGAATTGTACAAATTCGTTTTCCTTACATGGGTGGGAGGGGAAATCTACACAAGTCAGGAAGAGATATGGTGATTATTCCTCACTGAAGGAAAAAACCCAATATTAAGTATGTGCTTTATGGCTACTGAAGAGGTGCTTCTGAAATAAGCTGCTTCTGTTTCCACTGAGAAAGCAAGCTTGATCACTCACATTATCATTGGGATAGAGGACCCGGGAGATGTTCTCGGCCAGATTCCGGTCCAGCACAGCCTGAATGTAGTCTCCAACGTTAACTGAGGGAAATGTTAGAAAAATGAATAAACAGACGAGCCAGCCACTGTTTTCAGAAGCCCCCTGATCTCACCTGATGCTTGTTGGGTACCATGTGGGATTCCTAAAAATCCAAAAAGATTCCAGCAAACCTTCATGCTGTGATTCACATGACAGTCTAAGAGGGTTAGACTGAAGGACTGATTTAACCATGTGCCCCATACCTGCTCCATATAATGCTTTAGTCACTAAAGAGTTCGGATCAGAAACTCAGTGCAACCTGGCTCTAATTATTGGACAGAAAGATTAAAGGTACACATGAGGAAAGGGAGCCCACGCTGTACTCACAGTCTCTGAGGTTAAAGTCATTGGGTGCGCGAGCGGACCAGAGGCGCATGGTGTTGACCGTGTTGTTCAGATATCCAGGCACCGGGGTGTCATATGGAAGAGCAAGGACCACCTGCGGGGTGAAACCAAAGCAGTTCCTTACCGTTACCCACGTGGATGGAGGAGGTTGAACAGAGGTGGGAGACAGCAGCTGGAATTTGGTTCCTGGCTCCATCACCAACTCAAACTGTATGATCCCTAAACCAAGCTGAGGGTCCCAAGGCTGGAGGTGGTATTAGGGGCCATGTCGGTCCTCCTCCCACTTGGAACAATATGGATGGCTGGAATGACCCAGACAGATGGTCCCAGATGGTCCTCCACATCATTTCCACGCTGACTTCCCTTTGTGTCCCTTGCCCTGATCTGGACACAGATCTTTCATGTTTCAAGATCAAGCCATTGCTCTAAAGAGAGCAAAATATGATGTGCAAAGTGGTAAATGTGAACCTGTACCCATTAAACAACAGTAATCAAGATAAGTTTCATGTAGGCTATTCAATGATCTGATTTCAAATATGGTGAAAATTAGCAGAATAGGAAATTTACGAAGATAAATACTACATATGATGTTTAAAATGCTATGCTGGATTTTTCAAAGTTGCACGAAGAAGAGTTATTTTAGTGATCTAACAAATAAGCTGATAATTAGCTGAGATGTGTCTAAGAGGTGAGCTTTGGAAAATTTAGCTCAATATTTGTGACAGTCAGGGAAATAGAGAAGAACAGGAAGATGAACCACGTTTCACATGAATTTAAAATTTATGTGGGAGAAGACAATTTTCTATTCCCTGCCTCATCAGAATCAAGAAGCTCTAAGGAAGGGGAATGACAGATGGATTGAATTGGAGGATGCTAGAGATCATCTAGTGCAACTTAAGGTGTTTTGGATATGAGGGGAATGAAGCTGCGAGAGAAGTGACTTACCCAAGGTCATAGTCAGTGGTAGTGTTGAAACCTAACCACAGATATCTTTAATTTGGTCTGCTGAATTATGAAGGAATGAAACACTCTAGCCTATATCAATCAGTCACATACATTTAGTCATGCTTTCATGAACATCATAACCACAGAGTAATAAATCACATTTATGTGAATATCTTTTACTAGGAAATAAAGATCTCTGGAGTTCTAAGAGCAAGTTGTGGTCAATCAGGAGAAGTCACTTACAGAGTGGGACTCTGAGTCTGGGTCCAAACATGACTCATCCTTCTGACCCTCAAAACATAATTGAGGCAGCTGGGGAAGCACATGGCTTGGAGGTCCCTTTAGAGAACTTCAGGGAGAAGTTGCCACCTCAGAGCTCACACGAGGCTGTGCTTTCTTTGGGATGCTCCCATCGTGGTGGGAGCATGAGAGCCAGGACTCCCCTCATGAGCAATGTCCCATCAGCCTGGGCACTTGTTCAGAGATGCACTGCAGTGTGAGGCTCCTTCCCGAGAATCCTTCTTTCCCTCTCTCTCTTCACAGGTGTCACACCCGCGTTGCAGTCTGAACGACTTCCCCCCTCCTCCCGTCCCCTTTCCCTTTATCTTTCACAGGCATTTCTGCAATAGATCACTTGTACTTCTAATTCTCCCTTCTGTCTGCTTCCCAGAGGACCTGAACTGACACAAGAAATGAAACAAATAACTCAGTTTACTGGAAGCCTTCACAGCAGGCATACATGAGGTCTGACCTCGAGCTCTCTGACCTCACTAGCTACAAATCTGGGGCTGATCAGGCAGTGGCGTCAATCCATAAAATTCTGCACAGGTTGGGTCAGCTCACCCTTTATTACATCTGCCCCATAAACTTGCCTTTGTGGGCACAGAAAAACACACTCTCCCTGATTGAATTTCTGGATATATTATGAAAATGTCTAGAGGTGCTTTGTAAATATATTATCAGGTCATCATAAGGTCATCAGTGGGACTTATGAAGTAAACAGAATGCTTCCAGGATTGGGAGTATAACCTGCGTACGTTTAAACAGATCAGAAGGCACTGGAAGTTTTAGACACCAAATACTTGCTAGATTAATACCCAAAATATGTGAGAATTCTTTAGGCATATTAACAATTGATTTGTTGCAGTTCTTATGATCATATTTGTAATCAACTGCAACTCAGTTGTGGTCTATTGTTTAACCAAAATAAAAGGGGGGGGGGATGGATAGAGGGAAACATCTTGAAATTACAGTATTAGTTTATTCCTTATTATATATAATGACCTATTTTAGCTTCTAATCCATTATTTCATATGCTGAAAAAATCATGTTCAGATAGGAAAAACTTCAAAAGCAGTCTTTCTTTTGTGAACTGTGAATAGCCTTGCATGGATCAGCAGAATAAAGCATCAGCTTACAAGTCCACTATAACATGGGTCTAGAGTCCGCAAACCAACTGAATTTAGCATTACAATACTGAATTTTGTTCCTGATTTTGCCATATAAGAACAGCATTTCCTTGGTCTTTACCATGTTCTTTAAGCTTTTAAAGTGGCCAGTGAGACATCTTTTCTGGCCTAAGACTATATTTACTAAACAAATATCTCAAGTGGAGCCTCCAGTGATTGGACAATGCAATCCGGTAGTTCTTAGGGGTTATTTATCAGGACGTATGAAGACAGCAAAGCACAAACCACCACTAGAGGAGCTGAAAAGTAAATTGTTCAGTAGCAGGTAACACTCTAATCTGGTGGCAGGATAAACACACGGCCGTGAATTAAGTACACTTGGATTGACACCAGCATTATTTCTCTAGAAGTGATTTGGCACACAGTAACAGTGCATTTTGCAATATTTTGCATTATTTTTCTTGACTTTGTAATGAAGAAGAACTTTGGTAATCCTTTGAATAAATACTTCACTTTAAAAATATTTACCCCTTAGAATTTACAAGTCAATGTACATATGGCAGTGGGGTGAAGAATGACATTTAACTTTATTCAATCTTGGTTTCAACAGCTTTATATAAGGCTGGAGAGCTAAGCATGCTGGGATTATAGAATTGATTAATTTCTTATAAACCGGATGACAAAATGACCCTGGTAAGTCACTTGACCTTGGGGAAGTCACTTCTCTCTTGGCCTCAGCTCCCTGGTCTCCAAAATGAGTGGGTTCACCAAGAGAAGTAACAGATTTATTTATAAAAATATACTTTATTATTCAATATACTACACACTATACTCAACACCACATACACGTCACACGCTGTGCCATCCTCTATACAATGCTCAGCACGAGGACTCTCAGAATACCTGCGTGTTGATCCACTTGGTTCCGGCCTCTGTGTGCTCTACGCTCCCGTAGAAGTGAACAGGCAGCATGAACTCGGGGCGGGCCTTCTCCCAGGGGTTTCCATGCCTGAGCCAGTCATCTGCCTCTTCTATCTGCAAAAAGGACATGGCTTAGAATTTGTTTTTCAGGAGCGGTGGACCTAGCCCTTCAATTATATCAAATTTAAAATATTTTGGGGGACTTCCCTGGTGGCGCAGTGGTTAAGAATCCGCCTGCCAATTCAGGGGACACAGGTTCGGTCCCTGGTCCACGAAGATCCCACGTGCCTCGGAGCAACTAAGCCTGCGAGCCACAACTACTGAGCCCACGTGCCACAACTACTGAGCCTGCGCTCTAGAGCCCGTGAGCAGCAACCACGGAAGCCCATACGCCTAGAGCCCGTGCTCTGCAACCAGAGAAGCCACCGCAATAAGAAACCCGCGCACCTCAAGGAAGAGTAGCCCCTACTCGCCACAACTAGAGGAAGCCCGTGTGCAGCAACAAAGATCCAACGCAGCCAAATAAATTTATAAAAATATATATATATATTTTTGACTGAATCAACTCAAGAATACTGTTTTGGCAAGAAAGATGTTGGTTTTGTCAATCTCAATTCATCTTTGTTATTGTCGTACAGCCTAAATCAACAACAATACTGGCTAGTATTGCTCTAAATGTTTTATACATAGTATTGCATTTAATCCTCATAGCAAATATAGGAGGGAGCTATGGCTTCTCCCTTTGTTAAGGAAATTGTAACTTGCTCAAAGTTGCACGGATAGTAAATGATACAGGTAAGATTTGATGGTAGGTCTGTGAGTTCTAAAGCCTGTGTCTCAACATCTGTGAATCCAATTGTCTAGCTTGAGGGAAAGAGAGAGGCTTCCCAGGGATGTTTATTGTTGGATACCTGGACCTGATGGGTCCTACATTATGGTTTCTGTCAAGAGCTTTGTGCCTTGAAAGCACAGAATCGGTTGAGAAAAACTACTCATAGAAAGCTCCCTTAATAAGGCTTATTTCAGTATAGGTACAGAACACTATTACTTTTGTTTTCATTTTTTAATTTGGAGTATAGTTGATTTACAATATTGTGTTAGTTTCAGGTGTACAGCATAGTGTTTCAGTATTTTTGCAGATTATATTCCATTATAGGTTATTATAAGATAATAGGTATACTTTCCTGTGTTATACAGTATATCCTTGTTATTATCTATTTTATACATAGTAGTTTGTTAACACCATATCCCTAATTTGTCCCTCCCCCCGTTCCTTCTCCCCTTTGGTAACCACAAATTTGTTTTCTATATCTGTGAGTCTGTTTCTGTTCTGCATATGCATTCATTTGTATTATTTTTTAGATTCCACATATAAGTGATAACATACAGTATTTGTCTTTCTCTGTGTGACTTATTTCACTAAGCATAATATTATTTAGGTCCATCCATGTTGCTGCAAGTGGCAATATTTAATTCATTTTTTATTGCTGAGTAATATTCCATTGCATATATAATACACCACATCTTCTTTATCCATTCATCTGTTGATGGGCACTTGGGTTGCTTCCATGCCTTGACAATTGTAAACACTGCTTCTATGAACACTGGGGTGCATGTATCTTTTTGAATTAGCGTTTTCATTTTTTCCAGATATATACCCAGGAATGGAATTGCTGGACCACATGGTAGTTCTATTTTTAGTTTTTTAAGGAACGTCCATACTTATTTCCATAGTGGCTGCACCAATTTACATTCCCATCAACAGAACACATTTTGTAGTCTTTGTTTAATTTAATCCTTATGGAATTTTGATCTGATAATGAACTATTATTTATTTATTTATTATATTTTATTTATTTATTTGGTCATGCCAGGTCTTAGTTGCGGCATGTGTGCTCCTTTGTTGCAGCCGGGGTAGGTGGGGGGGCTCCTTAGTTGCAGCTCACCAGCTCCTTAGTTGCGGCATGCAAACTCTTAGTTGCAGCACGCATGTGGGATCTAGTTCCCTGACCAGGGCTGGAACCCGGGCCCCCTGCATTGGGAGCGTGGAGTCTTAACCACTGCACCACCAGGGAAGTCCCATGAACTATTATTTCTAATTCGTTTTGAAAATGACATATACTAAAATGTAAGGAATTTATTTTATTGACAATTACAACATTTTCCCATGTATTTATGTCAATTTATAACAAAATATTTCTCATAAAAATTTAAAAATCTAATTCGTATTTAGGGTATCCTGGACATCAAATGCATTTTGTTTTCTATAAAGAAACAAATAAAAATGCCAAAACAAGAACAAAAGACACATGGTGGGGCTGGGGTTGCACTTTTAAAGTAAAGGTATTATGAGTGAAACCTTTAAAATATTCCATATATATTAAAAAATGCAATCGTGTTCTGGCAAGAAGGGAGGGGTAAGGTTTTTAGTACAAAGCTCCCTTGTCAATGAGATTACCCCCAATATGGTTATTTTACCTACCTGATTCCTCATCCTTCCCTCTTAGAAAACTCAGCTTTAGTTTAAAAAGATATTAATGATGAATTATGACACAATGCTGGATGCTTCATGATCACCTGTGTATGAGTTCAGTGTCTGCCCCAGGCACAGTGTGGAGAGAGGCAAACACACACAGCTATCTTTTGAGATATTAGACAAAACATTAATGTCAACAGCCAGACAAGCAAACACACATCCATTTATTCAAACACTGATCATATTGGGAATGCTAGTAAGCTGCTCATTAACAAGAGCTACCAGCATGATGAATGAAAAGGGGACACACAGAAACAACATCTTTAGATAGAAGGTCTGGAATTAGAGAGCTGCAGGAGGATGTAGCAGATGCAGGATGAAGCCTAGGGAAGGCTGGACCTAGATGTGAGCTAATCAATACAATGCACCTTGTTAAAATGCAGAGTCCCTGGCAGTCTGGGGAGGGGTCTTAAATTTTCCATTTAAAAATTTGCATCTTGGGGCTTCCCTGGTGGCGCAGTGGTTGAGAGTCCGCCTGTCAATGCATGGGACGCGGGTTTGTGCCCCGGTCCGGGAAGATTCCACATGCCGCGGAGTGGCTAGGCCCGTGAACCATGGCCACTAAGCCTGCGCGTCCGGAGCCTGTGTTCCACAACGGGAGAGGCCACAACAGTGAGAGGCTCGCATACCGCAAAAAAAAAAAAAAATTTGCATCTTAACATGTAGCCATTGGGTACACGGTGCAGCAGGGAGCTACACAGCGATACAAAGTCAGGAACTGTAATTCAGAATTGAGACTTCGACTATCCCATTCATAAAGAGAACAAAAATACAATTAAAATTTAACAAGGAAAGGACTGAATTTTATCAGTTGATAAGAAATTGGTTAAGTTAGAGTCCTCTAGCTCGTGTTAATAACTAGAAACTCTATGAAAAATAAATGAGGATATGCACAAAGATCAAACATCCTGACTTACAAAACACTTCACGCTGCACTTAGGCAAGGGCAGTGTTCTGGGTTTCAAATTATTGGTCAATGTGAACACACAATGCTTCCTGTAACAGGAAAGAACCTTACGGCCTATTTGCCTCATTTCAGCACTCAGGAGTGTTGTAAAATACACCTTAAGTTTTTACATGAACCAGGAGGACGAGGAGGCAGAAACAGCATTCCTCTCGAAAATCATGTGCACAGGTGAGCTGACAAGATATTTTCTGCTGAAAAATGCAGCAGAAGCAGACTCTTCTCCCCTCAAGCACTGTGAAATGCCCGTACAAGAGAGGCTGAACTCTGGGCTTCCCACCACTGGCCGGCCCCTCCTGGCCTCCTTTGCAAATCAGAAGCTGCATTTGCTCTTTTGAGGACACGCTGTTAAGCGACAAGGGACTAGTCAGCCAGTCACTCTCAATGTTGGTCTGATTTTTCCCTCCCAAATAATGGCTGGTTTTAATTTCACTGGGTTAACAAGTTCTGTAGGAGAATAGGACTCCTAGCTTGCTGTTCTTTATTGAGTCTCTTCCTGATTTTGGCAAGAAATCAGCCCTCAGTTATGCAAAGCTTGTTTTTAAGGTAAATTGAAAAATAGATATTTCATAAAAGCAAGCTGGTCTGAGCAGATCAGAGGAGAAAGAGAGAACTGCCTCCAGCCACCCCAGCTCAATCCACAGAGGCTGCGGGATGGTGATAAACCTTCTTTCTATCTTGCTTTCTTCCAACAAATCAACAAACTGGTCTGTAAATTTAGATTTCCATGTAACCAGTGATCCCTGAGTGCACTAACTTGCTGAGCCATATGAAGGGCAGGGGCCAGACGGGAGGAGAGCTTCCATTTATATCCAAGTGGGCTGTGTGGATCTGAACATCCCAGATGAAAAGGAGCTGAGACAAAGCAAGCAGGAGACTGTGGCGTGGGGAGCAGCATGCCCGCCTGGGTGGTGGTGGCAGTGGTGGTGTGTGTGGCAGGGGATGCATGGCAGCTGGATCTGGGGTCTTCCTAGAGAGATTACTCGGTGGGATCTATTCCAGCCAGCATGGAAGCAGAGGTCAGCTCAGGGCCTCTGTGAGTGACTGAATTCGAAGAAACGCTTTTCCCCTCAACTGCGGGATACACGGGACATGAAGAACCAGTGAGCAACCATCAGGGGCTGTCAACAAACTTTGCTTTCTGATAGTACCAGTCATTGGTAAATGTTTCTGGGGAGCACCAGGAATTCAACAATGGTCAGGAGAGGGAGGCTTGCTGGGTAATGTGAACTGTGCATGACTAGGTATAGCAGGGTTCTAAGAGAAAGAATGTTCCAGCAGACTGCTTGATTCAACCCTGAGATTTCTACTATCAGCGTCTTTCCACTCAGAACTTTAGTGTGTGACTGTTTAACTTGAGGCTGTCGCAACTGCCTTTCCTCCTCTTCCTCCCAGTGGCCAGTCATTTTCAGAGGACTATTCTGAGAAGGTTTCAATGATCCCCATTAGAGTTCGAGGTAAGTCAAGCATTTGAGCAATAAAATTGTTTTCCTTGGGGGGTGGGGTGGAGTTCACAACAAACACTTTATTACTGCAAATCTTCCTTGAAGAGAGCCTTCAAAACTGAAAGTCTATCAACCTTTAAAAATCTTCCTAGTTTGTGCAATTTTCATCGGCCTTCTCCATTGTAAGAGCAACCATGTAGCTGATGTGAGTAGAGCAGTGACCACGCCCCCAAAAGGCATTCTGCTTTCCTGGAAGATATTTTTTGTTTTTCACGGAAACAGTTTCTTTTTTATGTTTGCTTTTTAAAATCCCATCCCAGTGAACAATGGCTATGGTAGATAAAATTAGGTGTCCTTCTGACTCAATTTCAGTTGTAATGAAAGAAGTGATGATGTAGTAAAGCTAGCTCTGGAGACTAGCAAAAGCCACTTGGTCTCTCTTTTTCCTTTAAAAACACTAGAATATATACTTCTTGGGTCTCACAGGAGAGAAGGGATGGTTTCCTGAAATAAGGCCATTTAAAGTAGCAAAGGTCATAGGTGGGATTAATAAAGAGTGACCTTTCATAAGACTTTGGGGAAAATGCACTTGAAAGACAAGTTTTTGAGACTGATCTGCTGAGTTAAAAAAAATCTTTCACAGAAAAGTAAGAAATAAAATCCTTAAACATCCTGGGGTATAATGAGTACCATACAGGATACAAAGACTGAGAATGGATACCATGTATCGCTTGGTCAGGTTGTGTTAAAATCTTGGTCCTACTGGAAATACCTGCCAAGCTAGGCTTCTCACCATGTAGCCCTAGATTACTTCACTGTGGAAGGGAACCAATTATTTTGTTTTTATATCTTTTTTTTTTTTCTATTTTTTTGCGGTACACGGGCCTCTCACTGTTGTGGCCTCTCCTGTCACGGAGCACAGGCTCTGGACGCGCAGGCTCAGCGGCCATGGCTCACGGGCCCAGCCGCTCCGCGGCACGTGGGATCTTCCCGGACCGGGGCACAAACCCACGTCCCCTGCATCTGCAGGCGGACTCTCAGCCACTGCGCCACCAGGGAAGCCCCGTTTTTATATCTTTTTATGATTATAAAATACACATTTCCTATGAAATATGCGACATGTAGGAGAACAAACAGAAGATAGTCAAAGTCACCCATAATCTTATCTCCCAGAGATAATTAATTACTGTTGAAGCTTTGACATTATTTTTTTTTTCTAGCACTTTATCTTTTTGGTTTCTTTTGGATAGGTCATACTATCCAAATGATCCTATACCTCCTTTTTTCAGCTGTCATAAACGATTTCCCATTTCATTATAATTAATTAAAAACATGATATTAATGGTTACATTAATATTTTATTATATAATACCACAATTAAAAAAATTATCCTCCTTTTATTAGGCCAAATTAACATTTCATTGAGTGCCTATTTGTGCAACAGACATTTTACATATTTTCATAGTTCTGTGAAGCTGGCATCTCCATTTTGCAGACAAGAAAAGTGAGGCTCAGGGAAGCTAGATAACCTAATCAAGACAACAAACTTCATAAGGGTAATGAGTTGCACTTAGGCCTCAAATTAGAAATTAGATCTCATATTAGGGCCCAATTTTTTTTCTACCCAATGCTGCCTCCTAATTGATTTAGGAGTAGCTAAAGATACACTGGTTCTTAACAAAATTTGGAAGTTTGTCTTTCAATATGTTCCCAATATTCTCCTCCTGGGACTTCCCTTGGTGCATTCTCTTATATATCAAATCTTTTAGTGCCCTTCTTCTTTGGCCCAGAATGTCCAAACACTGAGGGAGGGGAAAGTGGATGGCAGTGACACTCAGCTTCTCATCCTTCCTCTCCCCTGGGATTAGCTCCAGCCTAGGTCCCTCAACCCGATGCCTGATCACGCTGACCTTGGACTGACTCTTGGGAGGGCTCAGAGAGCTCAGGCTTCTTGAATATCCAGTATCCTTTTGCCAGTGATGTGTGTGTATGAGACAAAGGTACGGAGAGAAAAAACCTAAATCACACTTAGCATCGGGGAAAACTGTCCATGCCAGGGCTGACTGTAGTTCAAAGAGTTAGCAAAGATAAACAAATACTTAAGAATCTAGTTTGGTTATATAAAAATAAAATGAGAGTCATTTGTATGGATTCATTACTATTTGTGCAGTTTTCTACAGAGCACTATAATTGTACATATTACATATGTGCCAGAGTTTTTTAATATAATAGTTAACAGGACTGCCTGCTTTTGTCTTATAAAAAAAATTAGAACACTGAGCTTACATATCTTGTAAGATAGGCATGTTAAGGAGGGCAAGACTCTGAGTGTAGAAAAGAATACTGAATGTGGACCTGGAAATCTGAGGATATACAGCCTTATTTGCCAGCTGTGTGATCTGAGGTGACTTCCCCTCTTAAGACCTTCAGTTTTCTCACCTACAAAAGTGGTGACATGCTTCCTACTATCAAGAGTTATTGGGGGACTTCCCTGGTGGCGCAGAGGTTAAGAAGACGTCTGCCAATGCAGGGGATACGGGTTCGAGCCCTTGTCGGGGAAGATCCCACATACCACAGAGCAACTAAGCCTGTGTGCTACAACTACTAAGCCTGCGCTCTAGGGCCCACGAGCCACAACTACTGAAGCCTCTGCGCGCCTAGAGCCCGTGCTCCGCAACAAGAAAAGCCACTGCAATGAGAAGCCCAAGCACCCCAACGAAGAGCAGCCCCCGGCTTGCTGCAACTAGAGAAAGTCCGTGCGCAGCAAAGAAAACCCAATGCAGCCAAAAATAAATAAATAAATAAATAAATAAGAATAATAAAAAAGACCCAACGTAGCCATAAATAAATAAATAAATAAATAAATAAATAAATAAATTTTTAAAAAAAGAAAAAAAGTTATTGGGGAAGATCATGAGCTAAAAGATGTGCTCCTCCATTTTATACGCTGCAGAGATAGGACACTGCACATTATAGGTAGTCCACATGCAGGCAATCAGTGATAACTATCTTCAGAGCACCCCTGTGAGTCTGGCACCGTACAAGATGCTACGGATCTGGTGGTGAATGATATTGGCGATACCGGCCAGGCTCTCTGCTCTTAGGGAGCTTACGCCTCAAAGTGGGAAGACTGACAGTATTCACTGATGTCAACCAAATGCCACAGAAAGTAGTAAAGCTCTACGTAAAATGTCCATAAATTATAAACCATCCAGAACACCATGAAGACAAAGGACTTTAATGACAAAATTAAAAAATATGTCTCACGTACCTGCCATCCATCTCGAATCTTCTGATTGAAGATTCCATATTCATATCGGATGCCATAGCCATAGGCTGCAAGCCCCAGAGTTGCCATGGAATCCAAGAAGCAGGCTAAATTAAACAGAGCACAGGCCACAGGCAGCGTCATCAAGGTTACTCAAAATTTTGTCTTTCTCTAAAAAACATGGCAGCCACAAAACATTTCTCTATGAGAAACCATATTTGTATCTTAAAGCAGAGACTGCAGCACAGCGGGTATTGTTTTTAAAATAACATTCTAATTATAGAATAAACTATAGAAAAGGTAGAAAATACAAACATGTATAAAGAAGAAAACAAACATTTATTACCTCACCATCCAGAAATAACCACTGTGTTGGCATTTCATCTGAGAAATGCCAGATGTCTACGTTAGAAAGGTCCTTTATTATGTCTATGTTAGAAATTCCTTTATTATGTCTGTTCCTCACACTGCCCTCTCTAGGGGAAGCTGTCTCCATGCCCCCCTGCTTGAAAAGACGTGTATAATTTACGTGTAAATTGACTGACTAGCTGGACATCTGGGGCAGACTCTCTTTCTGGCTAATGGAATTCCAGTGTGGTTCACATTATCAGGTGGCCTTATGCTTCAGGGAGGCTGGACCAACTGAATCCTGACTAAACTTCTAAGCTAATCATAGTAATTTTATGTCCTTCACCAGTTTGGGTTTTGGCATGAGCATTCAATGACATTCAATCCAATGAGAGGTGCTAGAAAGTCTGCTGGGTACAGTGAAAGATTTTCCTTACTGCTGCCGTCTTTCTTCCATGAAGCTAAAGTCAAAAGAACCATAGAGACCCAGAGTCCTGACAGAATTGTGCTGCTGAATAAATTAATCTTAAAATGGCCAACCTCTGAAGTTCTCGTTCTGTGATAATACATGTCCTTGTTGGCGGAACTAGCTTTTGCTAGGTTTTCTGTTTCTTGTAGCCAACGGCTTTAATGACAGAGCACCTGATCTAGAGCAGCCAATCAACAGGCTGGGTAGGATCTATCTTGTGGTCAGGAGCAATTTTAGGGGTTACGCTAAGCATGTTGCCCCTCTCAGGAATCTGAACTGAGAAATATACAGAGAATGAGAAAATATAGTAGGATCTAAAACTGAAAAGAACATTGAAAATTGCAGATCAAACAGGAAGAGACTGAGCTAGGTTCACAGTGGAGTCCTAAAACAGATCCACAAAGGCCAATGGCCAAGACCTTCAAGTTACTGTAACATCACAATGGTCTTCCAGTCCCTGTGCTCATGTGGCCTGGCTCTGTCCCAGTTCCTGCTCTCTCGGAGCTGCGGTGATTTGTCTTTTCCTGGGTCCTGATCAAATTATCCTTAGAGCCTCACCAGAATGGGGGTCCCAGTTTTTTCAGTCTGGTAAGAGATGAGGTCATCTAATGAGAATTACTCAGCCTCATTCACCCCTTCCCTGTCAGGCCCCGAGCGGGGTTAACGCTGCCAAAAAATAGGCCCGGGACTTTACATAAAAGGAAGGCAGGCTACCTTGTCAGTCTTAGATGAGCATGCCGTTGGCTCTGCTGGTCTTCCTATAGCTCCATGGAAAGCCTACTAATTACCCGATGATTAACTTCTCAAGGTGGCCAAGTATGCCAAGGGCAGCGTTAAAACACATGGCCACTAATGTAGTAAGGAATAAACAATATGAAACACATGCAAATGGAGTTCTAGTCATTTGAAACTGTGTAAAATTAAGAGATTGTGGAATCATTTCTAAAAGAGAAGACGCAGACATTTATTTTTCATAGAGTACGATCTGATACATACATGTGAGGTCGTACATTCTATTATTAAATTTAAATTTCACAAGTAAATAATATAGTAACATCCTCTTTGTAAAAACAATTAAAATGTTACTGACAGGGCTTCCCTGGTGGCGCAGTGGTTGAGAATCTGCCTGCCAATGCAGGGGACACGAGTTCGAGCCCTGGTCTGGGAAGATCCCACATGCCACGGAGCAACTGGGCCCGTAAGCCACAATTACTGAGCCTGCGCGTCTGGAGCCTGTGCTCCACAAGAGAGGCCGCGATAGTGAGAGGCCCGCGCACCGCGATGAAGAGTGGCCCCCGCTTGCCACAACTAGAGAAAGCCCTCGCACAGAAACGAAGACCCAACACAGCCATAAATAAATAAATAAAGCAAACTGTCAACAAGTAAAAATAAATAAACACTATAAAATGTTACCGACAGGGCTAGCATCCCTTTTGACTGCCACCCCCAATTCTGCGCTCCTCTCGACAGAAAGTCACAAGGAGCAGTTCAGTATTTCAAATTCCAGACTTTTTCTATGGATTTACATATATACATTCTCACATAAAATACTAATTTTTAAAAAACATAAATGGTATCACAGTGTGTGGCTTTTAATGCAACTTGTTTCCTCTGCCTCCAGCCCCCCACCTCTTGGAGGTCTATGCAGGGAAGTACAAATAGTTCACTTTTAGGTTGACACATATTATTCTGTAACATGGTGTTCCTCTACTTATTTACCTATTCTATCAATGGACATTAGGTTATTTCTAAAATTTTGCTTTTACAAACAATACTGTAGCAATTTTTTTCACATGCCTCCTTGTGTACATGTTGGAGTATTTCTTTAGGGTAGATATCAGGAAGTAGAATTGCTTGGTGGTAAGGATGCATATTTTTAATTTAATGGCATTGGTATTATATTTTTAATGTTTTCCTCTATATTTGTGGAAAAATCATTTCCTGGATAAAGCAAAGAACTCAAACGTCATCCATACAAAACAAAAATACTCATTAATTCAATCATACCAATAGTATAACAAGTGTATCACTGCCTACTAGTTAATCAAAAAGCAAACTGTTAAGTGCACAGGACGATAACCCAATGGGTAAACAACTTAGGAGCTACCACACGAGTATGTGAATTGAGCAGCTGTGAACAAATAACAGTGAAGTGAAGGGGCCACTTTGGAAACCCTTAAGTGAACAGGAAGGATCTGGTTAGCTTTGGGGTTTGAAGCAATGTCTCCAAACTTCTTAAGCAATGTCTCTTTTGTTAAAGATCGTTTCTCTACTGTTTGTCTAGAACTGGTCAAACCACCGTGCAGACTCAGAAACAAACACAGCTACAACCGGCTCACACTGTGCACTTCTAGACAGTCTTCTGGTTCTTTAAGCATGGCTGTGCATGGCATCTGAGACGGCGTCAAGGGCCAGACAATAGCACACTTACCAGCAAGCCTCCCAAGACCACCATTGCCAAGCCCAGCATCTTCTTCAATTTCTTCTAACTCCTCCATATCCAATCCAAGCTGGTGATGAAAGAAAAACAACATAGGGCGTGGATACAAACTTCAGATATACAAACAGGCCACTTCAGAGAGAAGAGTCATTTCCTAAAGCTCTGGGTTGGGTCTTCAGGTTCATCTGTGAACTCAATCCTGCCAGGTCCCTCACTGCTTGAACTGCCATCAGATACCCGCTGCGGATGCTGGTGACTGAAGATGCAAACTGTCCGAGATGGCACAGCAGCAGCTTGGAGAAGAGTATGGGCTCTAAATGTCCATTACCGACTCTGTTACTTCTTAGCTATATGAACCTGAGCAAGGTAGTAAATCTCACTATGCCTTTCACTTCTCGTTTAAAAATGAGGATAATAGTATCTACTTCATTTAGGGCTGTGAATTAAATGAGATTATACAAACAAAGCATTCAGAATGATGCCTGGGTAGGTATTTCTTGATAAATGTTGGCTATCACTATTTCTTAAAATTATTTTTTGTTGCCAGGGTAAAACCTCAGAAATAGACCAGTACCAAGTTGATACTAACTGGACTAAATTTTGAAAATTACCAAAAGGTATGAGGTCAGATTTTCTGGGATGGACTACAGTTCATCTTTTCATGACCACAACATATTTACTCAGTAAGGTCAAAGGTTGTTAACCCAAAAGCAGTTAGTGAGTCACTGCCCATGACACCAGGGGCCAGACAGCAGTCAGGGAAACCTCAGCCCCGTGTTCCTGCTGGATGGGCCTAAAATCCTCTACTTCTCTCTGGGGTAGATAACAGACTGTGGGGGGGATAATGGGAGGGGGAGATAAATTAGGAGGTGGGATTAACATATACACAGTACTGTATATAAAATAGGTAAACAACAAGGACCTACTGGGCTTCCCTGGTGGTGCAGTGGTTAAGAATCTGCCTGCCAATGCAGGGGACATGGGTTTGATCCCTGGTCTGGGAAGATCCCACATGCCACACAGCAACTAAGCCCGCAAGCCACAACTACTGAGCCCGCGTGCCACAACTACTGAAGCCTGTGCGCCTAGAGCCCGTGCTCTGCAACAAGAGAAGCCACCGCAATGAGAAGCCTGCGTACCGCAACGAAGAGTAGCCCCCGCTTGCCGCAGCTAGAGAAAGCCCGTGTGCAGCAATGAAGACCCAATGCAGCCAAAAATAAATAAATAAAATAAATAAATTTATTAAAAAAAAAACAAAAACAAGGACCTACTGCATAGCGTAGGGAACTATACTCAACATCTTGTAATAACCTATAATGGAGAAGAAACTAAAAAAGACTATACAGCTGAGTCACTTTGCTGTACGCTTGAAACTAACACAACACTGTAAATTAACTATAGTCAATTAAAAAAAGAGAGAGAGAGACTGTGGGAGGCCAAGGAGCATCTGTGACCTTGGGGATGGATGGAATTGGTTGCCAGTCAGCTCCCTGCCACAAAGTGTTGGGACCCGCACAGCCAGAGGTCACTAGCAGCAGTGTGGACTCATATCAAAATTCTGCAGCTGTAGAGGTCACTTTGGACTGTTCATCTTACAATGAGGAAATTGATGGCCAGATAAACTAAACGACCTGTCCTCTGCTGACTAGATAATAATCTAGCCCATGCCTGGCTAATAATGGTCCATTGGGAAGTGACTGCATTCTTAATCTGAAAGTGATGCAAGCCATGAAATTTTACATGGAAACATAATTTACACATTTGAAAACATACGCACAAGATGTAACTATGCTTGAAGTGGATGCCCCAGTTGCCGTGGGGTTACCTGCTTGGATCCCTACCCTTATTCAAAAGTTGCTTTCTGACACAAGTCCTGATAACTAAATCTTCTAAGAGTTCAAAAATGGATTTGCTTCTGTTCATTGTTCAAAGGGCTTTCAAACTTGCTCCCTGGTGACTAGAGTCCTGGGGTCCTTGTGACATCAACTGCTAATGCTAGTGCTCAGGACTTTTAACATTCTAAACATGCGAGTCTAGAGTAGGCTATAAACCTTGAGCAAGGAGACATGGGTCGCTTCATCCCACCTGGTTAGATTATGGTGCAAAGGAGGTATATTTTTTTCAGCTGATATCAGGGGAAGCAAAGAAAAGGGAAGCAGAGAGGAGCTGCAATGGTTCTTTCACACGAAATGCTCTACTAAACCCACACAAAGGAAACCAGCCCTAGTGACAAGCAGCTGGCCACATTAGAGGACGAAAGCCCTATGCCAGGCCAAAAGCGACTTGAACAGTCTCTTACTTAAAGTGCACCTTTGCAAATACTCGTTCCTCCTATTAACCACATCAGAAAGGTTAAGGACTATTTTTGGTATGAAGATGCTTGAAGGTCAAAGGAGAAACAGTTAAATACGTTCATTCAAACAAATTAGCACATTAGGTTCAAGACCTCAGGCTCCTCATTTAAAGAGGAAGTGTATTTTACATCTCATTAAGCAAAAGAGAAAGTATGACAACAGAATTTTAAAAGTTTATTACTTTCACGTATTGCCTTGATATACAAATAACAGTCAAACTTTGATCCCTTTAAAAAAGTATATAGGAACCCAAAGTAAAGCTTGTGGTTCCGATAGCAGGGACTCAAGTACTTCTTAAAGGCTTGTTCAGATGCTAATTTCTAAAATGTAATTTGTTGCATAATGCTGTCAAAAGCTGACTGCAGGACAAAATTCTCATGAGGCAAAACTAGTTCTCTAGCTTTGTTCCTCTTAACCCAGAGATCAGGAGTACTACAGATTTCTAATAGTTTGTAATAGCCATGTCTACAGAAGCAATTTTTCACCATTTTTTGGGGTGGGGTGGGGTGGCTATATCCCCAAGGTTCCTGAGTTGAACTTGAAATTTAAAGGGAGAGAATGAGAGAAATACGGAGACAATGTACCTGGTAAATGGCCTCGTCACAGGCATTCTGCAGGCCAAGGTTGATCATGGTGTTCTGTAATGTTCGGCCCATGTAAAATTCCAAAGAGAGGTAATAAACCCTCTGAAACAAAGAAGAGAGAGGTCATGTTAACGGCTATGAGGCCAACCTTACTTGTCAACGTAAAAACACAAGGTCACCAATAAGAAACAAACAAGCAGAACTACTTTAACTCAGGTTCAAATGAGACTCCTATAGATGCATGAAGGGCTAAAGAAAAGCACTTCTGATAACTAACTGGCTTTGGAAAAACCATTTCATATCCTGGTTTTGGTGGTAATACTTAAAAAATATATATCTTTTACCCCCAGGGAGGGGAAAAAAAGCAAACTCATCCAACTCATTAGATTCACTGTTTTGTGGGTTTTTTCTTCCTGTTCATGAGCCTCATGAAAAAACATATGTTTGGGGTAAATGGAAGTCAGACTGACATAGCTCATCATTCATCTGTAAAATGTTTACAGGATGAGGGTCAGGTGGGGTTGGCTGTGAGCATCTCAAGTCATCCAAGAAACACAGAGATTAACTCCTTCAAGATACACCCAATGGCTACAAAGTATTCCTCCTTAACTGTTACTGCAAGTAATATTATAATTAAATATTTTAGAATTAAAATTATCCTAGAAAGTCTATGAACTGGCAATAGTTCCTTCTGTATAACAAAAGACTGCCTCAGGTTTATTGGTGTCTGTTCTTGGTGAAATAGGACATTTCTCTATCAGGTTAGAAACTGTTTGCCTTTGACATAGTAAAAGCCAAGTAAATATCAATAGTAATCAGAGTTGAAAGCAAAAGGTGCAAAGCTCAGACTTTCCTAAAACCCTTTAAAATACAAGCACAGTTTACTAGTCAAAAAAACAAAAAGGGTCAGTAACTTCATCATCCTCTTATAAAATATCTTACTCTCTGTATCAGTTCCTCTTTTCTTTTTCACCAAACACAAAACAAAACAATAAAAATCTGTAAATGCATCAGTATCAATATAAAGTCACCTCAAATTTTAGGGACTTCCCCATTTCTCAATAGGAAGAACCCCAAAGAAAAGGATTTGGTCAACCAGGAAGTACTAAAAAAAAAAAAAAAAGAATATAGTTCAATATAAGAAATGCCTATTATAAAAATAAAAAAAGGGGCTTCCCTGGTGGCACAGTGGTTGAGAGTCCGCCTGCCGATGCAGGGGACGCAGGTTTGTGCCCCGGTCTGCGAAGATCCCACATGCCGCGGAGCGGCTGGGCCCGTGAGCCATGGCCGCTGAGCCTGCGCTTCCGGAGCCTGTGCTCCGCAACGAGAGAGGCCACAACAGTGAGAGGCCCGCGTACCGCAAATAAATAAAAATAAATAAATAAAGAAGAAATGCCTATTATGATATTTAAATCATTAGTTACACATATATACTTAAAATATTATATGAAAATGTCAATTCAGAAATCTTACTTTTCCCTACTTTCATTTTATGAAACAATTGAATTCTAAGTCTTCCCATGGATAGTCAACATGTTATCAAACAATATTTTCCAAATGATTTCCACATCATCATTATTTTTATCCAAGTTGTTTGAATATCTATAATGCTGTCATTAGGGCCCTCATTAGTTTATTAGATACCTTTCTGTGAGCTGGGAAAAGGTATCTTTCCTGGGGCAGACTCAGGCCAAAGAGGTGCAAGGCGTCACTCACCCCCGAACTGCTGGCGCCAATGTACCAATGCATCACAAAAAAGAGCATCTCAAGCCACAAATATCCATTTACATAACATCAGGGCAGTTTTTTTCATTCTTCCCTGTGTGCATTTTCATGATCTCTATAATATAACCACTACCTATTGCTTTTTACTTTTTAGTGATCTATAAAAAGCTTGGTTATAAATACAGTATATATATCCAACACTTGCAATTGTGAGGTCATAGCCCCAGGAATAATGACGACATCTATGTTAAGTTTCTTTGTCTCCCTTTTAAGGATTCTAAATTAGCATGGACTTAAGAGTTCTTAAGACATTTCAAGGTCTTCCTAAAAAAATGTTGCTGCTTAAAATAAAGTAGTTGATAGAGAGCATCTTGTTACATGACAGATTTTCCAAGGACATGAATTTAAGGTGATTTCCTATTTTCCCACAAATAAATTTTTTGGGGGGGATAGCACCTTATATTTGGGGGTATAAAAGACCTTAAAAAATTGATCTCCCTCATCGTCTTAGTTAGTGGTTCCTAAACATTTAAAACATACTTCTGGTAGTAAAATATTTGAGCATCTCCAATACAGCTTATAGATTACATGCATGCACTTCTATTACTAATATCTTATGTATATTTTACAAAAATTAGAAATTTTCAAAAGGCTTGTATAGATAAAATAAAGAAGACATAACAATAAGCAATATTTAAAAAATACTTTAAATTTGTTCCTAGTATTAATTACTAGGTGTATGGAATAGGTGGCAACACAACTGAGACTTGCAGGGCAAGCAAGAGTTGAGCAGAGTCCCACGTGGTGGGAAGGGCATTCCGGGTGAAGGGTGCAGTGTGGGCAGAGGCCCGGAAGTGGGGAGAACAGGGCATGGATGGGGACGGCAAATTGGCCTGGTGGGAGAGCAAGGTAATGAATGGGAGGGACAGGCTCACCTGGGCTGAGGAGGGCCTTCAGTGCTTAAGGACTGTGGAAGGCAACACTGCCAGTGATAAAGATCTGAGCAGAGGGCAAGATGGATGTCTTTAAGAGGTTTAATCAGACTATAACGCATAGAATGAGATGGGACTGCAAACTCAAATGCCTTCAGGAGCCAGACAGAAAATAAGTGTGTAAAGGCAGTCACAGAAAACAATGTGGAGTACAGGGCCAAGAACTGGAGTGTCCTGCCCAAGGTACGGAAAGTAAAACTGCTTAAAGATGTCTAACCGACCAAATAAAATAAGTCTGCTAGCCATATTCAGTTGCATGCAGCCAGTTCAACCATTTCTGGGAAGCAAGGTAAACACTTAGAAATCTACTTCATCGAAGACCAGAGGCCAGGGCCTCAGGCAGAGAGAAGTGAGAATGGAGGAGAGTGGGTATTTTCAAGGCAAACTGCAGAAATCAACAGAATTTGGCAACTTGTTGAACGGGGAATACAGGAGGAAATCAAAGGCGAAACTAAAGTTTTGTGTCTGGGTGACTGTCAGGATGACAATGCTATTAACATTAGAAACACAGAAGAGACGGCAGGATTGGGAGGGATGATGATTTGAGTTTTTAACATGCTGAGTTTAAGGGAATAAGGGGAGATCTAGGTATGTTTACCGAGCACTTACAAATGTAGGAATGGAGCCAGAAAAGGAATTGAGACTAGAGATCCAGATTTGGGATTCATCTGCAGTTACTGGAAAGCAGGGGAGGTGGGAGAGAAGGCTGGACACACCTACTGGCTCCACTCCGTGCTGAGGGCAGGGACCTTCTGTTATGTGCATGACTGTCACAGAGCAGACACTTTATGAACACGTGTGGACTGGATCTTGTTCACTTGTATCACTATCAGAATACCTGGCTTATACCTGCGTAAGTAAGAAATGCTTGCCCAGTGCAGAAACGAACAAGAGAACAAGAAAACCGTAAAGTACCAGATAAGTCACTGGAGGAGAAACGTACAAGGCGACTGTGTTCTATGGCACTAAATGCTTTGGAAGTGTGTGGGGAGGGGAGGGGGGCAGGCTCTAAAATACAGCTCATCATCTCACTCTCCAGCTTAAAAACTTAAATAATAATTTTTAATGTAAGGTGCAGTCCCCTCTATGCAAATAAAAATTACGGTAAATATATGTATACATAAAGTGTTTTCTGACGATATAGTTTAGCAGTTGCTACCTTTGGGTAGAGGCCTAAGCCTCAGGGGCGGGGAAGTTACTTTCCATTTGAAAGCTCTGTTACAGCTGCAATTTCTCACTCTGAGGACTGTTTTGCTTAGGGGTTCTTTGAGCACTTGGAATATGGGCTATTCTTTTTCATGCTTTACATATTAAAAAAAATCCTAATAAATGTTTATGTGTATTTCCCACTACCTCCAGGATATTCCCATCATTCACCCTTTCCAATATGCCTCCAACCGGCGTTTCCAGCTTCCTCTCTCAAGACGCACAACCATCCTCACTGCTGCTGCCAGAGCTGCTCTCTCACCCACACTCTACACAACACAATCCCTCTGGCTGCCAAGTCCTACTCAGTCCTCCCCACCCCGCCTTCCCAGGTTGGCCAGGTGGAAATAGTGTTCCTCCGTGCGCCCAGCAGCGTCCACTCTAGCTCCCGCGCACTGGGTAGGGGTTGCCTGTGAACAGCAGTCCTCAGCAGTTCCCGGGTGGCCTGGCCCTCGGTCTCCAGTCCGCAGGAATCAAGGAAGTCCAGAAGCTCCACACCCCACTCCTAGGAACTGCGTGTTGGGCGAGGGGCGGGGGGCGCTCAGAGCTCTGACCATGGGGTGGGACCTCTACCCCTCCCTCTTCACCACACTCGGGCAGTACCTACGACAAGCCCGGGTCTCCCGCGAAACTCCCATCTAGTCCTCCAAAAGTTCTATGGGCTCCGAAGCACCTTCTTCCCACTCTTCCCCACCTACCTCCCCTTAATTCTTATTACCTTTTGACGACCTTTGCATTTGTCTCCCTCCCTAAACATTCACCTTCCCCGAGGCAGGGTTCTCATCCGTTTTGTTCTGGGTCGACTGCCTGGGGCCGAGAACTGTGTCTGGCATACAGAGAGGAGCCGCCCTATATCTCAGAGTAAACGCTGAGAGGAATGCTCCAAAAAAGTTTGTGAAGCAAGTGGACAGGCGAGGTAGGCCTGGGCGTCGGCTCCAGGCGGTCCCCAGGGGCAGGAAGCGCAGTGAGGCCCACGAGATGTGAACGGGGTGTTGGCGGAGGGCCGCATCTGTCCCTTGGGCTGCCCACCCGCCGCCCAGACGCTCTACGCCGGACTTCGCGTGGGGCAAGAACGGGGTGAGGAGAGGTCACTCCGGGGCCTCCACCCACCCCGCCGCGGACACCGCCCCGGCGCCCGGATGCTGGACTCGCATGGTCCCGGAAGGGCACGACCCGGCGAGGGGCGGCGAGGAGCCCCCCTCCCCCCCACCCCCACCCCCCGCGCCCGGGCGCGTACCTTGGGGCACGTCTCGTAGTAGTGCTGCTGCGTGCGGATCCAGCGCCCCACCAGGTGGTCGCGCACCGTGTGCGCCAGCGCGAAGAAGTAGTCGCGGGGGGTGGCCACATTGCGGTCCTTGACCAGCGTGAAGTGCAGATGCCGGTTGAAGCCCTTCTTCAGCTCGGCCACGTTCTCCACGCCCACGATGCCGCGGATGCTGATCTGCCGCCGCTTCTCCTGGTCGGTCAGGGGCTTGGCCATGGCGGCGGCGAGCAGGACGTTCGGCTCCAGACGCCCGGCAGCAGGACAGGGTCGGAGTCGCCCTGCGCCTCTCGCCGCTTTTGAGTCGGCGAAAAGTTTGAAGCCCGCCCCTCGGTGCGGCGCCGCCCGGGGTTGCAGCCCGCCCTCCTGAGAGGCGGAGGGAAACCCTGGCCACTCCCTTTGACTCTGGGCCGGGCAGGGCGCGTAGGGCGATGGGAGAGCACCTGTCGCGACCTCTGCGCACCCGATATGCCAGGGGGTGGAGGTGGGGGGCTGGCGGCCAGGGACCTGGGCTGAATACTCTTGGCAGTTGAAGGTGGGACCTTTGGTGACTCACGTGGACACTCTGACGCCTCCTTCCGGATCTGGGGAATGGGGCTGGGGGGTGAGTAGAGGAGGGAATTTATCCTGCCTCCTCACTCTAGAGTCTTGGGTAGAAAGAGGATGTCTGGTGTGAAAGCGTTGTAAGCAGATGGGGGGCAGGGGGAGAAGGTCCCTGGAGATGGGAACCACCTGCATGGCTTTCTTGACGTAAGAGAAGGCATTTTTGGCCTAAGCCATGTTGTGATCTAAGCCTGGCCACAATGCTTGTCCTTGAAGAGGTCTCAGTGATAATGATGGAATGATGGAATGATGATGTTGACCCTCATGACTTAAGTCAACGAAAGCTTGGCTTCTGTCTACCTTTGCCCCAATTCTTTGCTGAGTTCTCCTCTGCTCCAGCCCTTTCATGAATATGCATGTACCCTTAGCTTAAAACATCCCCAGTTTTGCTGTTCAGGGAGACTCTGCTTTGGGAAGGATTCCGGGTGCTCTCCTTACTTGCTGCAAGTAATAAATCCTTCCTTCTCCCAATCTTTGGCTTGGTTGTGTCTTTTGGCTCGACACCCACCAAGAGGCGAACCCAGTTTTCAGGTAACAGCAGGTTGCTGGCAAACTTTTGTTTTACGGAGGTTTATTTGCTATTAATATTGCTATTATTTCTCACCTGGAATGCGTTCTACCACAAGCTTCGGAAGGGATCCTGGAGGGTCAGCGCTCTTTTACTTCGGTTGTCCCATGTCCCTGTGTGTCCTTGATATCCCCCCATCTAGGATCAGAAAAGAAACCCAGGGCACCCCCTTTGCTTTCATTTAGTTTTTGAGGAGTCAGGAATTCGGGCTTCTTGACTCTTAGACTCATGCTTGCCCTGTCAAAGCCTCCTACTGCTCATCTGTACAGACAAGTTAGTGAGAATCAGAAGTTCTGAGTTGGACCTTCAGGCTGATTAGGTGGCAGGGGCTTTTACCTTTGGCCTCTTGTTTAACCGAAGGCAGGGTGGAGGGAGGAGAAAAAAGAAAGGTGTGTCCTGTAAAATGAAGGGATAACTCACTGGGCTGGTTGCCTCGTTTACAGGAAACAAAGCAGTCTGTGTTACCCTGCAGTATAGGCTGATCTTTGCACCATTCACCTCCAGCGTTGGTGGTATTTATTTGTGTGTGTGTGTGCGCGTGCGCGTGTGTGTGTGTGTTTAAACATTGGCAAAGGATGTCAGAGGCTTTTTCTTTTTCAGTAAGATGTGGTATTAATCTATTATTTTAGAAACAGTCCATTGCCAGAATTGAATTTCCCCCCAAAAAATCTTAGTGCAACTTATTAATGGACTCTACTGTTAATAATAAACCAAAGCTGATTATTTTGAGTTGATGTGGTGTGTGGGGGAGGATTATTTGACTCAGGCTAAATGCAGCTCTCACCATCAAAATACAACTTCAGATCTCATAGGTCTAGCAAAATATCCAGACCCCTTGTCCTCCCAATGTCAGGGCTTTAGACTCTAGGCCTTTGGGGCAGAGCCAGGACTGAGTTACAATATGCAGTGCCTGTAGTACTGATGACCTGCATAGGAAAGCATTTAGGAGACACAAGGATGAGGGTCTGGCCATCTGGATGAGGCCAGAAATACCCTGAATTAAAAGTGAGAGTGGAGCAGCATCAAAATGGTTGATCTTACAGATAGAACAAACGAGTGGTTACCAGTGGAGAGAAGGAGGGGGGGAGGGGATTAAGATATACAAACTGCTAGGTATAAAATAAATAAGCAATGAGGGACTTCCCTGGTGGTACAGTGGTTAATAATACGCCTGCCAATGCAGGGACATGGGTTCGAGCCCTGGTCCAGGAAGATCCCACATGCCACAGAGCAACTAAGCCCGTGCGCCACAACTACTGAGCCTGCGCTCTAGAGCCTGCAAGCCACAACTACTGAAGCCCAAGTGCCTAGAGCCCGTGCTCTGCAACAAGAGAAGCCACTGCAATGAGAAGCCTGCGCACTGCAACGAAGAGTAGCCCCTGCTTGCCGCAACTAGAGAAAGCCCGCGCACAGCAACAAAGACCCAACGCAGACAAAAAAAAAAAAGAAAAAAAAAAGCAACAAGGATATATTGTACAGCAGAGGGACTATAGCCATTCTTTTGTAATAACTTTAAATGGAGTATAATCTATAAAAATGTTGAATCACTGTGTTGTACACCTGAAACTAATATTGTAAATCAACCATACTTAAATAAAAAATAAATAAATGAAAAAAAAAAGTTGATCTTAAAATAACCAGGCCTCTATGGTAAAGTTTGAGGGGGGGCTGAAAGGGCAGGTCTCTTGACAAATTAGATGATAAAAAATATGTTTCTAAAAGCAGTTTTGAATACCTCTAGGATGGTCACAGCATTAAGCCAGTTGTGGGTCATTCACGGGTTGGTGTGAAATAGTTCAACAGTTAGATGGAAAATAGGGTGGAGCAGTGAGATGAGGGGAAGCTAGGTCTGAGTAGATCTTACTCCCAGGGAGGCCTGAACAGCAAAAGGCAAAAGAATTGTCTGGGTGCTTGGATGGGGAGTGAGGAATTAGGGGGTGCAAAAGAAGAGATGGAAGCCACCAAAGGCAAACTTGCTGCTTCTTCGTTTCGTTTAAGAAAATTTCAAATAGGTGGATCCTAGCCCCCCTATCTACTTAGATGGACTAAGTTCTTGTTGGAAACCCAGGATAATGATGAACTAATAAACACACTATTTGCTTGATTCTGTAGCCAGTTAGTAAACCTACACCCCTGAGTTGCACATCCCTCAAAGTGGAAAAACTGTGAATGGTAGAATGTCCAAACTACAGCATGAGGGGAGGAATGTCCAAGCCCATGTGAAAGGGGTGATTTAGGGGACTTAGGAGTGTGGCATAGATCTAGTCTTGAATGACAATGAATCACATTGTCAGATAGTCTTTTCACTTCTCTTCCATTCTTTCTAGAAAGTATTTGGTGTTAGCAGGTCTCTAACACTTGTTAATCTATATTTTTAACAGAAAGCAGGTCCAGACTCTACACCTTCTTCAGGTTTTAGCAACTAACAAGAATTTAATAACGTTGTCTTCCATTTATGGTAAAGGATACTTCTCCAGTTAACACTCTGACGTAAACTTCGCTTTTTAAATTTTAAGTTAAAGTGAATTTACTTGAAGAAAAGTTAGCATTTGGGTGGCACATGGGTTGGCCTAAAAGTGTACAAATGTAACTGAAGTTTGGGAAACACAGAGCTTATGGTCTCCCAGGTCCCTTTGAAATCTAACATCTGCTCATTCTGTACTGGTCTAGGACACTGAGGCCCAGAGAGGTTAAGTTACTTGACCAAGAAGATTACGATCTTTAAAAACCTTTCCTTCAGCCTCTCCCTGACTAGAAACACCCAAAACTGTGGTTCCCTGAAAAAGTGTCAGACTTATGTGGCTCACCTCTGTTTACACCAGCCTGGGCAACGATGACCCCTTTTAATTCCTGTTTCTCAGCTGTGGCTTCCTCATGGCTGCTCTGATGAAATGGCCCTTGCGAATAGCTGAACAAACTGTGCAGACCTCACAAGACAAGTGTAAGTTGGCCACTGTCAGAAAAGAACTTGGGAAAGCGTGTCAGTCCAGGTCTTCAGAGAAGCAGATGCCGAGACAGGATTCAGCATGCAAGGATTTTGTTAGGGCAAATGCCTGCAGGAAAGAAAATGGGGAAGGAGCCAAGTTAGCCTGGTAGAGTTTCAGGCTATGATGCAAGTCTGACCCCCAGTGAAGAAGAGATGGGGGGAACAGTGGGAGGGACGATCCCAGACTGCCCTCAGTCCCAGGAAGATCCCATGCTCTCTTAGCCATTGCTGGGAGCAACCTGGGGAGGCGTGGCCTTTTCACAAGCCCAGCAAGGACATCCGTGGCCCTTGGTCAGTTATGCTCCCTGCAGTTGGAAGTCTGTGAGGCCCATTCTGGTAACCACCAGAAAGATATCAGATAACAAACATAGGTTAACAGCCACTATATTCCAAAGTAGGGCTTACTGTGTTGGCACACCACTTTCAGATTCATCAAATCTGCAGCTAGCATTTTCCAAGGGCTCTGGCTAGGCTCTTAATGTGTGTTCCCTCATTTAATCCTCTTACCAGCTCTGTAGGGCAAGTTCTATTCTTCTTCTCATTTTGTAGATGAAGAAACCGAGGCTTGGAGAAGTTAAGTAGTTTGCTCAAGATCACTTAACAGATAAGAGGCTGAAGAGGTTTTCAAATATTTGCATATTGTTTTCAGGTTTGGGATCTGTTAAGTAAGCATGAATTCTCACTGCACTTTAGCTGACCTACTTACCCTGTCCCCTTAGTTTGTTTTATACTGTTCTCTGGCCTTTTTTTTTTTTGCGGTACGTGGGCCTCTCACTGTTGTGGCCTCTCCCGTTGCGGAGCACAGGCTCCGGACGCGCAGGCTCAGCGGCCGTGGCTCACGGGCCCAGCCGCTCCGCGGCATGTGGGATCTTCCCGGACCGGGGCACGAACCCGTGTCCCCTGAATCGGCAGGCGGACTCTCAACCACTGCGCCACCAGGGAAGCCCAGGATGGGATTATTTTTTGAAATATTAGTCAGCATTTCCCTTATTCTCCTGGTGGTTTACTTTTCCACTCTACCTTGTGCTCCTACTCGCTGAGGAAGGACGTAGCCTTCCTGGTTTGTAGCTCGTCTAGGTTAACATTTGGGAGACGTTGAATGAGAGCCAGGGGTCTGAGAAGATTCACAGG